TCTTCAACATCAAAAGTTCCTTTTATCATAAAGTCTTGGAACCATCGGAGGCAGAATGCTCCAGCGAATATCTATCCCAGCTTGCCTATGAGTACGCCCCCAAACTTGTATCTCCATCACAGAATATCATTTCATCCCGGATCTCTTATCTCGGACATATCCTCAGACATGAAGATTCAATCGAACACATCTCCACCTACCAAACAGCACATGCCTACAGACGCCTCCATAGGAAAAGACCTGGCCACCCTCGCACACATTGGGCCGAATTGACCATGACGCAAGCGTACCAACGCTATCAAATACTTTCCTCGAATTCCCCTATTCCCCGCCCCTACCAAATACACCACGATATCTATCACCATCCTACAGAAAGAGAGGTGGCTGCTGCCCATTCCAGATTTTTTGGTAGTACTGACCTTTGGAGGACCCTACAGCCGCTAGCTCAAAACCGTAGATCCTGGGCTCAGTTAGAAGTTTTGCGTTAATCAGCTGAAAGGGCTGCTGACGAGTAGTCTCACTTGTGGACTTGCTCTGCGCGACTGAGAGAGAGAGAGAGAGAGAGAGGGTTTGAACATAGAGTTCAAACTCCAGGTTCAACCTGGGTTCAAGAAGTTCGAACCCAGGGTTCAACCCTGAGTACCGGAGTTATATGTTCTCCCCCCCCCGGGCCACCCGGGAGTTTGAACCCTGGGTTCCGGAACACTCTAAAAACCTATGCTCCGGGACAATATGTGTGCCAGTGCGCTTTCTACATGAGCGGCCGTAGGTGGGAGGGTTGGAAGAGACGCACCTCCTTCTGAGCTTTCAAGAGTGGACCCCGCTGAACGATTTTAAATTTGGCCTTGTGTTCGAAACTTCCGGCCTCGAATAGAGTGTTCTAGGTCGAACACCACAGTTGTCTCCGAACTTCCAGTTCGAAAAAACACCAGTTCAACTTCCAGTTGAACTCCAAGTTCAACATTGGAACTCCAGTCCACTCCAGTTCGAACACTTGGAGGCCGGTGTTCGAAACTGGAGTTCGAACTTTTTGAATTTGAGGTTCGAACACTGGTTCGAACTTGAGGTTTGAACACCAGTGTTTGAACTCGGAGTTCAAACACCGGTGAATGTTTCTTCTCTTTTTCTTTTCCTTGCAAAAAAAGTCCATAGTCTAGTTTCCAAACCATCATCAGAGAGTCTTCTAGAGTTGCGGATGGGCCACATTCATTTCTTTCTGCCAACTTAACCTGCTTGTGAACCTGGGTTAGACCTGGGTTTATGAAACCCGGGGTTCCAAACCTGGGTTAGAATCTGGGTTTGAAACCGTTCGTCGACGTTGTTGTGCTTTTGCCCTTGGAGAACTTCTTGGTGGATTGTGCGACTCAAAGTAGGAACGAAAAGCTCTGAATGCCATCAAAGGAGACTACCAGCCATATTCTTTCTGTCATTTTAAAACGGCTTTCAGAGGCTGCCAGCTTGGATTTGCTTGTGGCCTAGAGTTTCCAGGATGAATTGAAAGGCTTTTGCGCCTTCGCAGTGACACGTCTGTGAGAGTGCAATCGTGTTTGAAAGCCTTTGCGCTCGTGTTTGAATCGCAGTGGTGCGACATTATGTGTTGGGTTTCATCATTTTTTGCGGCGGAAAGTGAAATTGTGGGCTGCACAGAGCAAACTCATGTGGAAGCTTCTAGAACATCTTGGATCTTGTCTTGACCTTCACTATTGTAAAGGAGATTATATGGATAAAAGAACCGTGCGTAGTGTGTGGATTTAATGAATGAAAACATGCACTGCATTCCATTCCGTTTATTTTTCACTCATTAAAACCACACATTACTTACTTCATATTAATCACCAACCCTAGGATTGTGTGTGTTGGTGTAGGTTGGTTCGTGGCTCGTGTGAATTAAATAAAAAAACACGCGCTACATTCTTTTCATTCATTGCGCTTGTTTTTCTTCATTTAATTTAGCTTTTTTGTTCTATCATCCTGTCTGGCGGTGGTGTGGCGTGCTGAATTAAAACAAAGGGCGCGTGCATTCCTTACCGCCGTCTCTTGTTTCAATTCACCACCCCACCCACCACCCAACATTCAACAGTCAACAGGCCATAAGGAACTAACCGTCTATAACCAAGAACTATTGGCCATTGACTGCCAAGGAACAAATCATCCACTCCAGACCCTTTGTTTCACTGTTGTGTGTCATTAAAGAGGTGAAGGTAATGAGTGAAAGGAAGCACGCTTCACCCTCTTTAATTCCACAGCAACAGACAACAAAGGAAAAGATGAACGGTGTGCGTTATTTCGCTTCTTTCTTTATTTGAACTGAAAACAAACGAACGAAGAGAGTGCGTGTTTCGTTCAAATAAAGCAAAGTAGCACGAAATAAACCACACCAACCATTTCGTTCAGTGTTTCGTGCTCTGCTTTATTTCATTTAATTCATGCCTCCTTTCGTGCGTTGTAACTACATGAAACAAAAGCAGCACAAAACAGGGGAACGAAATCAGGCTCTTTCTGACAGATTTGACGGGCTCATGTTCGAGAAAAACCTTTCGAAAAAGTTGCAAGCCGCGGAAGTCTCTTCGATTTTACAGCTGAAGCCACAGAATATTGTTGCTGTCGTTGTCCATGAATTTGCAACAGCTCAAGCTGTGCTGTTTGGATGGAGTGGTAAGCAAAAAGAGAAACGGTGCTCACTTTTTCAGACTTGAGAATTCAAAATAAAGTGAGAAGTAGGCACAAAATGGAGCCCGGAATTCGGTCCGGTTTTTTGTGCCTCTGAGTGTTGGCATATTTTCCGACTCAGAAAACGGTCGTTTTTGGGGCCTGCATTTTGGTGCTGGCCAACCACTTTCGAGCTCATTTTTGGAATCGCACAATCTGGACGCGGAGCGACCATTTTTTCAGCAGCCGGAGAACTCCAAAGTGTAGCCAGTTAATGCTTGTCTTGAACACGTATTCGTTTCAAACAATCAAGTTGAAACTTGCTGCATAGCGCAGCGCCAACAGTTCGAAACATCCTCGTTGGGCATCTCACATGCATCCACACGTGCATCGAAGACACTACGGCTGTCTGAGTGAGCGCCATGTTTCTGCCTCAGCCAGAACATCACCTCGAACGGGCGAGAGTCAGGAGTACCAAATGCACTTGCACGTCATGACAGCTTCGGACTCGACGATAAAGTCATCATGAAATGTGGACCCTTCAGAAGCTCAAGTAGCTTGCGAGTGCGACGAGGGCACAAAATCACCCCTCGTTGGGTCGCATGTGACACTACGACTACGGCAAACAGCAAACAAAACTCGAGGTAAAGACTCACATCGCAAGAAAGGAAGAAATCTGTACTTGAAGTGAGTCCCTCTTCCGGTGGCTACCACCTAACCTCATGCCTGAACACCGGCAGACTGCCTTCAGACGGCGGTCGTCTCGGCCCCCAAAGGCCCGCGACGAGTGAACAGCCTCGTCCTCGGCACCGGCGTCAAAATGTCGTCCTTGCCGGACTCCTCGGGAACCGGGATTGAAACGGACATGCCAGAGGCCAAGCCCCGGATCGACGCATCGCCAAGAACTTGGTTTTTCTCTCGACAAAGACAACCATCAAAGAAGGTTTTTGCGTTGGAAAAACGCAAACCGAAACCCGGATTATGGTCAATCTAGGTGTTTCTTGTTGTTGGAAAACATTCTGATGTTTGTTTCGAACCCTGGTTTGTCTTGTAGTGTTTGAAAAAGCGGTTGGGGGGCGCTAGGAGGGTCTGCTTAAAGCTTGCTTGTTCATGGGAGAAGATGTTCATTTCGATTATCAAGTTTTGCTTTAACCCTCTGAAGCGTTTTCGTGTGGTCTCAATTCGTTGAAAACCTCCGAAAAGCGCCCCGGGGTTGGAGAGGCCATCGTGTTCGCTGGAGAAGACGTTTCATTCCGATTGTGTTGTTTGTTTTGCTTGTAATGCGCCCAAGCGTTTTTCGTGTGGCTTTCTCCTTCTTCATGCGGAAGACGTTTTTCTGAGGGTTTCGCAGCTTCAAAGAGGGAAGAGGTTGAAAGCGCTCGAAGGGAGGGGCGCTAGGTTCGGGTTAGCACTTTGCGTCGGAGTTAGGGTTCGGGTTAACCCCAACTCCAACCCAGAACCGCCAGGGTTCGGTTTCAGGGTCAACTCCAACTCTGAGTTGGAGTTGGAGTTGAATTGAACCTCAACCTTGACGCGTCTATCCTGAGGTTTGGGTTCGGGTTCATTCCAACCGTTGGAGTTAGGGATCACCCACCTGAACTCTGGCGTCGAGGTTAGGTTTCGGGTTAACCCCAACCCCAACTTGGCCAGCCCAGTTAGGGTTACGGTTGGGGTTAACCAGAACCTCGAACCTGGAGTTGAGGTTGGTTGAATCCCAACCCCAACCTGAGGTTAGAGTTCCGGTTAACCCGAACCCACAACCTCCGCTTCAGGTTGTTGGACCTTCGGACCCGGCAGTTACAACCTGGGTTCAACCCCAACCTTCTACGCACCCCGCCGGAGTATGCTCTTTCGTGCTTCGTTCAAGGTCGGGGCTCCTGCTTTGGTTTCCCTTCCCTTCCTCTTCTTTTCCTTTCCCTACTTCGGTGATTTCTTTAGTTGGGGTCGGAAGAATTGCTGTGGTGCTTAGTTCGGCAAAGGGCCGGGTTGGCATGTGGGCTGGACTGGCAGGAAAGTGTTTTGCTCGATTCATGTGCTTTCCAAATTTGAAATCAGAAAGCCAAAACTGTTCCGCGGTTGCCTGTGCACGGTAAGGCTCGCGTCAGGTGAGATTCTAAACGGAGTAATACCGCAAGTCGGATCGGATATCCACATGCCTTGAGTTTCCGATTGTTTTGGCGAGGGCATCGCAACCGTGTCATCAACACAGATGCACACCTGCCATGTGTTTGCATGTTTGATGCTCCGACAGCAGACCCCACAGCGTTTGCCAAATGTCCGGTGGGCTTTGCTGTGTTGTCTGGGCGCCGTCTTAGCATCAAGTCAAACTTTATCCCTGTTTACTGTATGCAATGGCATACCATCTTGGATGGTTGATCGTGGCTGCACTTGCGGCTTTCTCGACAGCTTCACCAGCTGAGGACCGTATAGCGTGGAACTCTGAGACTGCTTTTGCCGCCTAGCTTTTTCGACAGTATGTCGGTGAGGAGCAAGAATGCCAAAGCACCAAGCTGGAAACCTACACTCGCAGCCTGTTGCAACGCAAGCTGACCGCGGGCAACGAGGTGCAAAGTGTGCGCGTCTCCAAACTGCAGTTGTCTTTAGATTAATCGTGATAGTTGGACGGACAGACTTGGATGTGTGCAGGTTGCGGCAGGTGGTTCAGCAATGGTGACGGAAGCTATGAGCGAGCTGGTAGACGTGACGAAACAATTGAAAAAGGAGGCCAGCTGATCGTGTTCAGGTTGTCGTCCATGACGCAATGCAGACAATGCAGTCCACTCAATACCAGCTGCCTGTCTGTTGTGTGTGTTGCAGGTGGAACGACTTCAGGAAGGTGTCCTGCCTGGGGTGTCGTTGTTTGTTTTTCGTGCTTCTGGGAGTATCACCTCAGCTTTGACCGTTGGAAGCTCGCATGGGGTTGGCATCGGTTTGCTAAGGTTTGCAGCGAGAGCACAACGAAGTCGTGCAACTTGCTGGCAGAATACAGCAAGAGCCTTCCACACAATCATTTATTGTGTCATCATGTATATCAGCATTTACTTTACGTAGCTTGCTTGCTACACACACAAGGGTTTTTGGATGACATGCTCGCGTGGCCTGACCCCTACAGAGCTTTACCTACTTCAGAAGACTGGCAGAATTTTGCTATTTGGTTTGTTTTCTGCTTACTGCCGCCGACATGCAGTGATATGTGGCAAGGACATTGCGCGAGACGCTCTCGTCGACGGGTCAGTCTGCAAAGCCAGGGACGGCAAGTGCTGCAAAAAACGCGGCTCTTTGGCAAGACTGATACGAGGTTTTCGGGTCAGGTATTGATAGGTTCGCCTTCCAGCAGTCATGGCCGCAAGACGCAGCTCCATGCCTTATCAAAGGACAAGGGTGTCTTCGAGCTTTGCAAAGCCGGGAATGTGCTGAACGAGGTGCTTCGTCAGAGTTCGCAGTGCAACTTCGGTTGCTTCGGGAGCGGCGTGCTGAAGCTTGAAGCGAATCTTTCGGTGCCAGGTAGCTTTTCAGGCCAACACGTCCCTCCACGATGCCAAGACAAGCTGCAGTGCCGCGACAGAGGCGCAATAGCTTTGCAGACTTGTGCAGCCTCTTCTATCTGCAGTCCCTCTTAGGTTTCTTTGTTTTCGCCGACGGCTTCCTCGCCATTTTTCGAGACAGAGTGCTGCCCTGTCGAGAAGGAAACCGCACTGCAAAGTTTCCTTTCCCAAAGGGATGAATTGGACTGGGCCATCTTCATGCAGGGATGTATGGATAACTCACGGGAGCAGGAGCACTGTGCTGGCTGTGCCAAGCAAAACTCCGGGAAGACAGCCTGCGAAATCTGCAGCGGTGGCTTTACGAAGAGTGCTTTGGCGAGCATGCTGTGTTCCTCTGGAGAAGGTAATGACACTAGTGTCGTTTGAGATTGCTAGCAATGTCAACTGGTTGTTCTGAGGCTCCGGCAGATGTGTGGCATGTGTGGATCTTCCTTCTTGGGTAAACAAGGCAGGGAATTTTCGCCGATCCGACGTGCCGGTGGATACGGGAGTCAGCTTTGGACAGAATTCACATCAAGGTCTTCTCAGTACGTGTCCGAGGGCCTTGGTCCACAAGCACTACTGCATCTGGACGAAATCTTGCACCGCTTTTCGAAGGTTGCCACATTGCACTTGAGCAGAACCTTCTACCACCTTCTTTACAAGTTGGTTTTGGGAACCTTCAACACCGAGTTGGGTTCTCCACTGCATGTGTCAGAAATGTCGCTCATGTAGGACCTGCAAGGTTTCGTTCATCTGCCAGAACTGGTGTTGTTTGGTTGTGCCGCCCCGGCCAGGGACCTAAGCACCTGCAACATGTTCCAGGGCCGAGAACGTATTTGCAGGCCGGACAGAACTGCCACGCTGCCAGCTGCTCTTCTGAGAAGTTCCAGGGCATCTCGGCCCGGTTTTGGAACTTTACTAGGCAGCGCTTAGTCAAGAACACCGATTGATTCCAAGGCTTCTCTCCGAATGAAGCCTGTTGCAAGTGTGGAGGAGGGCAGAAGGCACATCCTGCTTGCATGCTCAGCATGGCCGTGTCATCAACATCTTCACGAAACGCCATCCGCAGAGTGCAGCGATTCCTCGGCCAGCCTACAATGAAGTTGCCATCAGCATTGGCAGCATCACAAACCTCATTCACATCATAGTCGACACTGTCTCCAAGTATCCGCATCATCAGCATCATAGGCAGCATCGTGTCATCTCCATAATGATTGGCATCATCATCGCAGTAGTAGTGCGCCATGTGCCATAAACTATAAACATTATGATGGTTATTGCGACGACTGTCGTCACAGTCATCAGCATTGTCATTAGCAAGATTGATGCAAATATTCAGACGACCCTCATGATCAAGAGCAGCGCCAGCTTCATCCAGTGTCGTCGTGCTTGGTGTCGTCAGTGCACTAGAAACACAATGCACGGAAACAATTTTTCATTCACACCCAAGGGGAGAAAGATCACAACTCCGTGAAACTCTTCTTCGCTTTGCGATACGGAAACACCAACAGGAGCAGCAGCAACAACAACAAGGACATGTTCAAAACTTGACATGAATTTCGAGCTCACCGACATCCTCCTTTTATTCCTCCTTATCATCATCAACATCATTGAATTCATGTCTGTTTTCACAATGATCAATCTGATCATCCGCATCGTCATGGCCACGAGCTTAATCACATTGGTGATCGGGATTCGTTGCGGTTCATGGGCGCCTTGAACAAGGGACTCTCTTGCCGCGAGTGAAGAAGAAGAGGGTTGTGATGGCTATGACGGTTATGATGACTTGATGACAATGACGAGAATGATGAGGACTATGATGGTCATTCTGATGATCTTCATCACCAGCAGGTTGCCTTCATCATCTCCCTTTCACGATCCCATTTTGGGCTTCTGTGTCGTCTTCTTGATGTTTCATAGTTGTCGCAACGCAGGGACTACAGACCAGACGGCATCGCTGTGGACACAACTCCATGAAGGGTTCATGGCACAAGATGAATGTTCGTTGTGTGTCGGCTGAGTCAGAGGCCGTGCGTCAGGATTGTCGTCGTTCTCATCACCGAAACAAAACGATCTGAGTGTCATGCGGAAGGCAGCGACAAAGTTTGCCTACTACGTGGGTCCTATGGCTGTCGGGGCTACATCAGTCGTTGGCCATCCAGTGCCACGCACGGCGAGCTTCACGACTGCAATGCAGCAGACCCAATTTAGACACATGTCGCGCTTGACTTGCTGCCGTGAGCGGTGGTAGGATATTATCAGTACGTTGTCGCAGCAGCTGTATGGGAAGAATCTTGAATATCGCAGGAGTGCTAAGGAGGCGAGGCAGGTGTGATGATGAAGTGCAATTCTTGGAATACTCCGATCACGATGAGGCCACTATTCTGTGGACAAGGCGTGGGTGACGACTGGGCAAAAGGGCTCTCGCAGCAGAAGTTTTTCAGTATTTTTCAGTGTATAAGACTGGCCTGACAATCCCCCGCCTCTTGTGAAAGGATGCCTTTGCCAAGTGTGGCCCCTGTCACGTGTGCTTAGTTCTCTACTCTTGGTCTTTGGCAAACGTCTCGGACTCCAGCAGGAGTCATCAGTCCTCAAGCCAATAGGTCACTAAGATGCATGAGCCGTGGAGGATTGCGAGCTGGCGAAGTATGGCTTGTCAATCCATCCCACCACGGGCGTGCCAGAGCAGCACAGCAGACGAGCCAGGGCTCACGTGTTCGAGAGCAGACGAGACACGAGAGTGCGGGAAGGGATTGAGATCCACTTAGAATGTGCAATGCTCCTTAGAGACTGTATAGTATGTGACTCACCCAGCACGTTGCTCTTGTCAGCGATCTGTGGATGCGCAGCAGCTGCAGAGCTTTGTCAGCCGCAGCCCACGGTGATCTTGATGCAAAGTTGCGTGAACGAGAGACCTTTACGGCTCTCCGAAATCCTTTTCGTAAACCCCCGATCCAGATCTTTTCAGAAGGCATCGCATTACCAAGGCATTGCAGTTGGACGGCTGTAGCGCTGTCGGCTGCGGTGCCGCAACTGTGGCCCCTTGGAGTGAATGCCTCTGCAAGGTTTCGAGTTGTTTACCAATCCGGTCACAAGCTTAGCTTAAATTGAAACAGAGCATGATCTTGGCTCCAAGAGGTTGTGGTCCTGATGCAACGTGAACGGTCGACGTGCATCTGGTTTGGCTTTTCAACGCTGTCCTGGGCTCATGCCAAGGAAGTGAAGTGCACTGTCACTGCCGAGAAGGCCGGCACAACCTATGAGCCTACTGAGATAATGAGCGCTGCAGCGACAACGGCGAAGGCTGAGTCTCGGGATCTAGGGGTCACCAGCGTTCGAGGACGGGCTGATGGCAGCAGCCCCCATTGAGGTCTTGGCTGGAGATGCCACTTGGCACATTAAATTCCTTTTCCGGTTCTTTCGATGATCAGACCGAAAAGACGAACTGTCTCTTGTTCGGCCGAGATCGGCTATGGCGGTGGCCCTGTGGTTCTTCGCGGCACAACAACGAGCCTGGCACCTGTTTTGTGGCTCGGCAGTGTCGAAGTTTGTGGATTTCAGGATTTCCAAAGGCCGGCTGTTTCCAGCTCCTCACGGTTGGGGCTGTTTTTTTTAGGAATCCTAGGCATATGTAAGGAACAGGCTTCACGGAGCTTAGGGGCAATAGTTGTGCATCGTGTGCCATGGTGCCATGATGCAAAACACAAGCATTCTTTAAAAGCTCGGAGGCCACAAGAACACTTTCAGCGATACAAAAGCCGCAAGCCCGCAAGCCCGTTCGAGGATACGGGAGAACAAGGAAAGAATTTTGAAGACCCCTGCTGCCGCCAGGAGTCCCAATTCGGGCTCGGGCACCTTCTCCCAGTTTTCCTGTGTTCCTTCGGCGAGTAGCTTGGATGTGAGATCTGCTGAGCATCAATTTGGGGTGATTCCGTTTCATCCAGACTTGACTTTGAGCTCGGTCACCCGAGGCTGGCTGAACCTCGACTCCAGCACCGGCAGGCTATCTTTGAAATCCGGCAATGCAGTCGACGGCGGGGAGCTTGGTGTGCCGTAGACTCGTAGACATTGCTATGCTATCTTCCCGTAGAATTGCAGACATCTCGCTGAAGCGGTTGTCCTGGGTCCATGAACATGCACGCCAAGGCGGTGTGACAGACTCCAAGGGCGCGAAGCTGGGACAAGGTGGCCAATGCTTCGTTGCTGGAGGGTGTGTATCGGTGAAGAGGGCCATGATCCCCTTGCACTCAGGGCTCAGGCCAACAAAGTGATGTCACTTGCAATATGCATGCATGCGTCTGTGTCCGTGTGTGAATATTCGTACATCTTTGTATACGTGCAGACATAAACAGACACGTAGATGAGAGAAGAGATCTCTCTCGAGAGATGCCAGGTGGAGTCTGCACTGTGCAAAAGGGCACAGCTCCTTGGCACACTTTTCAGAGGTTTGCATTGCGATCCTGAAGCATTTTGATCGTCGAGGCGTTCAAGACTGTCCGATGGTCCGATGGATTTGTTTACCAGCTTGACTTCTACAGATGCATGAATGTGTCGTCATGTGTCCCAAAGGAGCGTGACGACCCTCCCCTAAACCCTAAAACCCAAACCCCCACACCCCCAAGCCCCTAACCCCTGAACCGGGCCTTAAACCGGAACAGAACAAGAAGAACGAGAGCAAACAGTTATCGCTGACTGAAGAAGGCAACGGCTGAGGAAGTGAGGGCTCTGTGGAACGGATGTGCTTGGGAGGTTCTTCTTCAAAGGGTTCTCTTGGTCTTATACATTGCTTGACCCACACCTTTCACTGCATCCTATACTCTGACTAGCTGCACCTTTGAGGCGAAGGGTTCAGTGGTGGTCATTGCGCCGGATGCGTGGACATCGATGAGCTACAGCGACTTGGACTGAAGGGCCATGACGTCTGGCTCGGGTGCAGGCAAACAAGCCTGTCTACATCGAATCGCGGGCGGCTACACAAGTTGGTAGTGCAGCATGCCTCATGCATGCGGCAAGGGTCCCTGAAGCTGTAGCTCGTCAGACAATCGAGCTGTAGGTCAAAAGAGTGAGCAGTCGATGTGCTATCAGACGGCATAGGATACAACCGGGGTATTCAAGCGTATTGTCTCCGCAAGTCTCTGGAACTCTAGCTTCAGTCCAAGGCTACAGCACTTCGGTCCTTTATGCCACGGTTGGAGAGAGATCACCGATTCTGTCGCCGACCGGTAGCAGCGGCCGGGGCCACAGCAGTGGATGCAATATCTGAAGACTGAACGTTTGTTGCAAGACATGGAGCCCTTGCTCTAGTAGAGCCGTCTAAACCAGTGCACCAACTGAAGAAGTGACGAATTGAATCCCAATTCCCACACCTTACATCCTTAGACTTGCAATGCGGCCAACATAAAGTCCTACCGAAAGCTTTGGTTGTCCTTTGTTGATGCCATGTCTTCTAGGACATGCCAAGCCATACGCAGGCCATGTTTCTTTGTTTGCTTGAAGTATTCACAAAAACTAGTAGATTTGTCGCGGCACTTTTTTCTCGGTCTGTAAAGGCCTTGGGCATCTAAAGACCTAGTACATGTGCGAACTGAACTCATTAATCAAGCTCAGCCGAGGATTGATACCTACCCGGTTCTCTGCTGACTGCTCGGGATCGAGCTTCGGTTTCGACGTGCTGAGCGGCATCGCCACATGGGAGGGCCACCAGACCCTTGGCAGAGAAAAGGTTTACAAATCGAATGATGAATGATCCCAGGAGAATTTGGAGTCATCGTTCGAGCATCAATAAGCATAACCAGTCTGTTGTCGCTGCGAGTGCTACTTCTTGTACGAACTAGTTCGTGTGATGATGATGATGATGATGCGGTTGGAGATGATGACGATGATGACTTCTGACACTGCTACAACTAAAAAGCGAGTTCAGGCATTTTCTATGCTTATTGTCATCACCAGTTTGTCGCTAAGTTCGGTTGAAGGTATTGCCCACTTTGGTTCCTGTTTTGCTGGTTTACTGCTTGGAAGCGGCTTCGGTAGTTCGGTTAGCAGCTAGCATCAGTTATAAACGGAGTGTTACTGTTCCAATTCTTGTGCATCCGTGTCTTCATTCGTGCGTTTCCAAGCATATGGTTCACACTCTCCTGCATTTCGCTGGCCGAGGTCGTACTGTTGCTGTTATATTCAGTCCATCAGTGGCAGTACCGCAGTCCTTTGTGGGTCTCTGCAGTCGCGGCTCCCAGGATTTTCTCGCTGGATATCTTCACCGGAGACCTCCAGCTAAATCCTGAGGAGAGGTGAACGTAGCATATTCCGAAGTGTGCCAGGGGCAGGCCGTGAAAGTCCACCTCAGCTATGGTTCCTTGACAGGAGTCCCTGACGAAGTCCTTGGACTCTTCGTCCGCCCTGGGCTCAACGCACTGCAAGGGAATCGTTGTGCGGTGTTGTGAGCTGTTCTTTCAACCTGAGCCTGAACCGGCACTCGTGGAAGGCCGCTTCAGTGCGCCGAGCAATTTCAACTTCGTGCACAATTTTCGGGCATTACGAGCAGCTCGGCCTACCAGAAGGGGCACGTGGCCTTCCCACATGATCCAACCCCCGTGCTGTTTCAAACAGGGTACTCCATTTTCGAGTTGATTGGCACACCCGAGTCCAAGCCGCTAAGGTGGGCTCCGGCGAGTCCGGGTCCAGTCGTGACGCACCGGCTCTCCATGGAGTTCCGGGACACGGCATTGCTGCAGCTGTTCGTGGGATCATGCTTGAAGTAACGATCACGACATAGGCAGCCGCTTTCTTTGCTCTGCCGCTTCTCTTCCGGGGTCTGCACTTTCATATGCACTGGTCTTGTGCCCTATGAGCTCTGCGAATGGTGGGCCAGGACCACACATGCTGGGCTTCCAGGACGTTGGACTTCGCCCGCCGCGCAGACAAGGCGTGGTGCTGCAAGGTGTCCAACAGTCTTAGACTGATTGCATCATGTGCAGGCACTGCATCTACATAGAAAAACCAAGGGCAGATCTGCAAGTCTGAGAGAGCGAGCCATGCAGCCCAAAGCTAGGACGGCTAGGATTCCGTAGATCCATCATTGCTTTTGCCGAATTGGCAGGGCGCCAAGTCGTCCAGCGACTGTCGAACGCAATGCCGCAGTGCAGCTCGGCCTGCATCACCTTAAAGTCCTCAATCTTCAACCCCCTTCGAACTACTAGTCTTTGTTTCAGTCCATATTGTGAGTTCAGAGACTATTGGTGGCGTGTGGGCGAGGTTTCCGAATATTATGTAGGATATGGGTACTACGTTTGCAAGTTGTTCATTTCGACTGGCCCCAGAAGTACCGAGAGGATGCTTTGCCCACAGGAGCCGTACTGCAGCTACTATCAGTCGGCAAACGGAAGATGCTACTTCTACAGTGGCCTGGATGCCAGTTGGACACTCCTTATGCAGGCTTCCTGTTTCGTTTGACGTGTCGGCCGCGTACTTCTCATGCAGGCGCATTGTGCACCGATTCCGGGGACTTTGGCTGCTCCTACAAAGACGCAGCGGCCCTAGAGAGACGGCTGTTGGGCGATTGCTGCTAGATTAGTAGGAGGTGGAGCCCATTGTTATACACCTTCTCCAAAGCACCGTGTGTATGGCTACTTGGGGAGACCCATGACAGCCATCTTTGTTCTTGGTGAACTTACGAGGTGCCCGTGATTGAGCGGTACCCCGGCTGTGGCGAGCGACACGGCTGCTTGCAGCTGGAGCCCCTTGGCGGCATCAGCGAGCATCAACGGAGTTCTGAATTGAAAGCTGCGTGGCAGCAACTGTGAGGTTGCCAGGACGTCACTACATCTCCGGAAGGTACTGCCCGGGCGGTGCTCCTTAGTTGATGAAATAGGAGGCAAGCCTTGTGGTGGCCCTGTCATAACGTCAGGTCTGCATACTCCCACTGACACACATTCCCGTGACGAGCCGATGCCAAGGAGAATGCGGGAAGTGCTGCGCAGGGGCCGGTGCCAGACTCAGCAGCAGGGGTGTAGCAAAGGCAGCCATGACAGCAGGGCTTATTCTTCTTTTCCTGATATCGACGCACGGATCGGCTTGAACATCAACGGATCTGTGTGCTAATATCATGCCTTGACCTGGGAAGCCCTTGTCATTCTTCTGGCGGTTGGGAGGTGTTCTTCAAGAAAGGCCTGACCAAGGAGGCACGCATAGGGCTTGTTCAATTTGGTCTGAGCTCGCTGCAAAGGCTGTGACTGAGAGGCAGGGAGGTCCGAGTTCGAGCATCTTTGGAGCTCGCGCAGACATACGATAGCGAACACCCGATCTCAAGTTTTGTATGGCCCTGCATCAGGAGAGCTTTTGGCTGATGCGATACGACACGTCACGTGGTGGATGTTCCAGCGGTGACTGGGTGATCTACGGACCAAAACCGCTCGAGGTGCGGACGTAGAAGGTTTGCGCGTGTCGGTAGCAGTATAGATGGCCGCTGGAACCCCTTTTTGTCAGTGCTGCATCCATCCACTTCGGCTTTTTCAATACTGTGCCTTTGCCCCTCTGCTTGAGAAGGCGAAGCGCTCTCAAAGTCATGACCTGACCTGGAGGATTATGAGAACTCGACCATGGCCTATGTGGAGCTCCACGGGGATGCGATTGCCTGTGTAAGGGGCAGCAGCAACGATCTCGTGTCTGCCCCTTCGGCCAAAGTCTTTCCGTGCACCGTTAAGTCTATGCCTGGAGATACGCTCGTGCCTTGAGGACGTCTTCACTCAGACAAAGGTCGATTTGACAGTGTGCAGCTCAGCTTCGCCGCGAACCCACGAGGACAGTTTGACCTGTTCTCGGCATCTTGCCGGAGGTCGGGATACTGACTGTCTCCGGAGCCAGTGCCACGGTGTCGGCTCCGGGCTGTGTGTCGTCCCCCTGCAGCAATCATCGAAAGCGCTGAAGAGCTCGGCTAGTTCGCAACATCTGCAAGCTCAGGCCCAACGTCACTGCGGTGGATAGCGGTGGGGAGCAACCTGTGGAAGCTTTGGTGCCTTAGCTGCAAAAACTCTGAGCCTCTGCTCTCGGACTTTGTGCATGATTCGGCTGCAGTCAGCACCAGCTTCCTCGCGTGTCTCTGCACGAGGTGCTGGATGATCCCTCGACTACCACTGCAGACGACCACTGGCTTCACCCCTGCGAGTGTGTCGCGGGGCTTCAAACCTCTTACAAAACAGACGAGGAAAGATTTCTGTTGCCAACTGGGACACCTACATGTCCTGCTCTCTGGAGTTTCCGTGACAAGTTCAGGTGCCTGCCAAGTGGGGATCTCTGCCTCCAGCCTCCGGTCGCCGCCTGTGGCTGTTGTGCGTGATGCGATACACTGAGCTGTGTTGGCTGAGCGGGGTCCAGGTCAGAGCGTGTCCGATATTCCAGCCGGCAGTAATAACGAGTTCATGCCGTCCCCATCACTGATTGCCAGGAGCTTAGAAGTGGCAGTTCTCGAATCGCATCCAATCTGTTCCGGTTCGGGGACAAGCCACGCAGGTGGATGGACAATTCGTCTGTTCGCAAGAGTCTCTTGGCTGGACCGGCTAGGCTGACCGACTAAGCAAGAACGCGATACAGTCACGGCGTGGATTCACACACCAAACGCAACAACAGACCAAAAACAGGATGAAACAGCACTTCGATTACAGGAGAAGTTGAGGTCAGCCTGGCTTCAGGACCACTGTCCACAGACTGCTTCGCTATAAATTGGCAGGTTGGGATTGGTTAGGGCGGATCAGGCTCGGATAGATTCGGTTGGGTCATCTTAGTTCAGGTTCGGTCGGGTTGGTTGGGGTTGGGTCGGTGACGAGGGTTGGACAGGTGAAAGGTGGGGCAACAGTCGCTGCAGCAGCGTCGTCTCAGGTGCAGGCGGGGCTCGGTTATGTGATTCATGTTGGCCAGCAGATCTTTCAGGGAATGTTCCCAGCTTGGCCTTGCCGGGGAAGAGTCGGAAGATGTGCTTTGTGAACTGAGGCATCTGACCGCTGTTATCGTCGAGAGCGAGACCGATGGTTTGGACGATGCCAACTGCAAGACGCGCTGCGTGGCCCAGGAGTGCCCCTACTACTGGGAAGGCTCTTCCTGCGAGCTCGGGTATGCTTTCGAAACCTTTAACAACTCTGCATTCTCACGTCCAAGCAGGGAGGAATCTGAGCATTGATGGAAGCGGAGCCATATTGCGCAAGCAAAACATATGACCGGGGGGTGACCTGCAGGAAGGGACGACTCTGGAATCTCCTCAGACAGCCTCACATCTAGAAGTCTAGAAGTGGCAGCAATATGCATGGCTCTCCTCGCAACTGTCGAAGATGGTTCGGGCTTTGGCGGTGCTGGGCAGGCGAGGTCATGTCGACAAAGCAATGTCGCATCTACAGCCGATGTGACGAGCTGGCGGGAAGCCCAGGTTTTGTCAAGGAGTGGACAAAAATTCGGTGATACGTGCAAACTTTGACATCCTTAGGTTCGCGAGGTCGGTGTGGTCGGGAATCTGTTCGGCATGCTGCTCGAAAGCAGATATTGAGTTAAGGCGTCTGGCTTGAAGGCAGACAGCTTCTGCGGCTTGCTGCCTGCGACTTGTCCAACTTGGATCCGAGGTCCTACCGGAAATCCTGCAAGGTGGCCGACCCGCAGTTGTGCCCTGGATCGGACGGGCTTGCTACTGTAGTATATAGTTACGCATCCGCGAATCGTGCTGATGCGGGCCTGCGAGCCCTGCAGCCTAGGTGCTGGAAAGTCACGAAGCGTCGTTCATTTCTTGGAGCCGGTGCAGACTCCTACCAGTGTTTTCACCAGGATGCAAGCGGAGGGGATTCGAGGCGAAGAGAGTCAGAATCTGAAGTGCTGAAAACAGGACCTTGTGGAGCAGTGTGACCAGAAGCTGATGCTGGGGGGTCTTGGCGTCACCGCATGTGGTGGCTGTGAATATGCATCTCGGCTGGCATTTGGATTGAGAAATGCGCGGTATGCAGCAACGCAGACGTAACGTGGCACTACGGAGCACAGGCTGCTGTGGGTGCAGGCAAGTGAGCAGACAAGGTTTCATTCGCCCAGTGACCGCCAAAGCCTCCTTACTGTCACATTGCACGATGCTCCCTGAATCGAGGCTCCGGTGAAAGGTAAACAGATCTTTGCCAACAATGGCAACTGCGTGACCGCGGATGGCAATGACAACCTGCTTCTCACCAGCGGTTGATCTCGAGTGGAGTCCAGTGGTTTTCGCCTTGTCTTCGCAAGATCTTTCGAGTTGGGTTTCATCTGCGCCCCTGTGCCCCGAGGAAGGTTGCCGCCTGCAACAACGGAGACAACCAAAAGCCCCTCGCCTGAGTGGTTCTTCGAAGGGAGACGTGGAGACACCGGAAACACTTCCTTGGATCTCCTTCAAAAGCAGGCCTGTGCAGTAATTGAAGCTCAAGTCCATGACTATGAGGTGGTATTTCGATGGTGAAACACTGAAGCCCGAGCACAAGGACGGAACCTGGTGCCTGAGCACAGATGTGGCAGAGTAGCAGAGCCTGACATTTCTCATTTCCAGTTGTTTGTTTGCAGTGGATCCATGTCTGTACTGTCTTCTTGCGCTTGGAGCTCACCCTACACGGCGTGGGTCGTCACATCGCATCACACTCGAAGTTGGAAGGTATGCCTCGAAAAACAACCATTATGCGGATACGTTTGTGCACTAGCATCTTTTCGCGAAACTATCTACTGGAAGTGCCAGTCTCAGTCGTGCAGGCACTGCTGTGTCGGGTTCTCAGTTTGTGTAAGTTTCAAGAGCCCAGTCGCAGTCGAGGCCAGTTGAACTCGTGTGTGGTTGGATAGTTGACGTGCGTCTATGCACCGCTTTGCCGGGGTCCTGCGTTCTGTCAAGCAATGTGAAGCTTTTTTGACGCAGACGAAAGCCTCGCGGCGGTCTCATGAGCGGAAGTGCGCAAAGCCCGGGCCACGCAGTGTGGCAGACAAGAGAAGCCTTAGCCAAACGGTTGCACTCCTTACTGTCGCCTCCCATTTTGAGGTGCGTGGACATGGGATCAAGCTCGAACGTGTATCTTCACCCTTGCCACGGAGGGGACAACCAAAAGTGGCGACCCGTCCATACAGCCTAAATAAATTGGTACACTACATACATACATATCCGTGTATATATATATACATATGTATCAGTCTCCGTGTCTCCTTCGGCTCGAGTCTTAGCTTCGGGAAGCTTTGGTGAGCCGAGCCCAGGTACCTCCACAAAGGGCATCATTTGAGGAGCCGAGATGGAGACGGCTGTATGGACTACTTCATTGGGGGCTCGAAGAATATGCAGCGAAGCTCTGCAAGAAGCTACCTCTCCAGTCGTGCATGTGCGTCGTGGGGAAAAGAGAACAGGCAAGAGTCGAAGTGCTTGTACTTGCACGGTTTCGAACCATTGCTGCATCTAGGTATGTGGGCAATTGTCCCTGGAGCAACCTCCTGGCTTGGACCTGGCGACAAACAGTGTCTTGATCGGAAGAGGCATGGAGAGCTTGCTCTAACAAACACTGAGCAGGCTGCTCGTGGAGCGTGTTGAGGTTTCGGGCCAGTGACATGCCTTTTTGCAAAGATTGAGTGGCACTCCGGTTCAAGCTTGAACCCTGCTGAAGAGGCTCACACCATTTTCGATGATGCTTCAGAAGCATGTACGTATCATGCTGCAAACTGCTTGGAACTGGCTGGAGGGGCGAGTGAGGGCGTAATCGATTGGCTTCCATTCAGTACCACAGCCCAGACCCTGCAATCAGCGGAAAGGCTATCAGACCGAAACCAAGAGCAGTCTTCGTAAGAGCCCTGTTCCCCTCTTCAAGGTGCATGGCGGGCAGTACATAAAGTCTGACTACCAGTACAAGTGCCTCATCCACAACCCTGTCAACCACAACGTGTACATGAGCTACTGCACTCCAGATTATTCACACCGCTGGTACTGGGATGGCGAGTCTTGGCCAAATACCGCAAAGAGGTGTACGGTTCAGGGTGAGAAAGGCTTGCTCTGTAGGGCCCACGATCTGACTCCGAACGAGGAGCGGCTCAAGTCCGAGCTCAGTACCTCGAAGTGTTTGGACAAGTTGCTGGGTTGCAAGGAACGGACCCGTCGATGAGTGGTTGAACGACAAGTGTTGTTGTGGTCCTGCTCCCTTCGCTGTGCTGTCCGAGATCAGCTGAGGAATGGAGACAACAACCTCTATATGCTGCTTTGCTGAAGTGGTGGTTCTCTGCATTGACGACGCAGTCCTTAAGCCATTCTCAACATTTTCATGGTCGTGAGTGGAGCTCTGCAGTGTGAGCAATCAATCTCCTACTTGTACCTGCCCGCATGCTTCCAGGCACACATGCCACAGCGGCGTCAGCCAGAGGTGGTACTTCGATGGCAAGCTTCTGAAATCCAGGCTTCCCCTCCGACTAACAAGGAATGCAAGCATGGCGGTGTGAGGCGTTCGGCTCGTGCTTCCTGGTCCTAGTTGGTGTTTTCAAATCTTTGGGTTTTCGGTGACACCGAGCAAATGCCGCAGAACCGCGCTCCAAAAACTCTTAGCTTTGCGTCCTGGGTTGAACTGCCAAAAGATGATTCTGGATCGCCGTTGGGGCACCCCAGGTTCCTAAGACCCAGCCGGGCTGTTCGACGCTTCTTGGAACTTGGATTCGGAACTGCAGCTCCGGTGGGTTCAACCTGTGGGAACCTGCTCCTTTGGCTTAGAAATTCTGGGCATGTTTGCTGGCAGGGAAGATGGGCGCTGCGTGGATTTTTCCCCTGCAGTCGGCAACAACGCTGTAGTCGCAAACTGTCCCTCGGCTCAAAAGCAATGAAGCCGCAATGTTTGGTTGAGGTCCACGATGGTCCATGCGGATATGTGCTAGCGGTGACATGCTTGGGGCTTGTTTCCCTTCGCTGGTAATGTCTCCGAGGCCCGGACAGCCCCTACAAGCAACTCGTCAATGGAGAGTTTTTCGTGTTGTCGCTTATGGAATCAGCATCACCGGCACTGGTGAGGCTGTGGAGCTGGGGCCCAGAAGTCCCCAAGCCCATACCGGCGGCAGAGCTCACGACCATGTGGGATCGCTTCTCGGCAAAATGCATTTGTCATGCTTCGAGATGTGTGCATTGCCAGCTTGTCTTCGTGTCACCCCGACCTGAGACAAGTGCCTGGACATAGACTCGAACGGCGACAAGGATATCTACATGCACAACTGCCACTCCGGGAGCCTCCCAGTTTGCTGTCTGCTGTGTCGTGGGGCTAGCAGGGGACTGCTGAAGGCGCCTGCAGGGTTTAGCTGTCGCAGGAACAACCAGAAGTGGTACTTTGAGGGCAAGTCGCTCAAGAATGTCGCGGACAGCACTCTCTGCGCTGACGTGTCTTGACTTTGACTGTTTCTGATGCATCCCGGGACAGCATGCACGACCGAAGAGGAGATTTGCTAATCATCATAGCGAAGCTATTACAGGGGTATCAAGGGCTAAGCAGTATCAATCTCAACATGACCGACCGTGTGTTGATGGCAGTGCTTGTCCGGACTGGTTTGCATGTGTGCATTGTAGATATCGTTAGAGGATGTTAGAGGTACAAGTAATTGGCATAAGCAAGTACACAGAATAGTATGTATGTATGCATGCATGTACGTACGTATGTATGTATGCATGTATGTAGATATGTATGCATTTATGTATCTACATGTATGCATAACTTAGTAACTTGTTAAACGTATAAGTAAACATGTATACAAGTATGGGTATACATATATATATATATATGTGCATAATGTGGAGATACCTGTATTTGTGCATACACACACGTGCACACACACACACAACACAGCCGAATGATGTGTGGTTCGATGAATTTGGGTATATATTGAGTGTAGAGCCACCTTTGGGACGTGCTTTGTCATTCCGGTGTTTGCCCAGGAGCCCGCCGACGGCTCACTCTACGGGCACACGTGCCACGGGTACGACAACCAGCAGTTCTACATGGACCAGCACGAGCGACTCGTCGGTTTTTCCGGGATCTCTGTAAATCGTTAAGACTCTACAGCAGCTTGCAACCATAAACAATGTTACATGTAAAACCGTTCTTGCAGCCCAGCCCACCCTGAATGTCTGCTCAGGATCAAGAACGAGAAGTGGGGCGATGCTAAGTGTGCGGACTATAGTTATTCGAACGACGAGCCTTTTCTGAACAATGGGAGATACATCCATGTACACGGCTTGAAGGAATACCGCCGAACGCAAGACCTAATTAGTGCTGCAAGCATTCTCATGACATCGCTGCAGTCCCATGTTGGTGCGGTTCGGGGTTAGCAATTCGCATTCGCATCTATTGCCAGTGGTGACGGCGAACAGGCAGCAATGGCAGTACTACTTGATTGGAAGCTAACCGCAAACCCTGCAACGTTCAAGCTTGCTGAAGCAGTGAAGGGGTGAGCCTTCCTTTGTTGCACTGCATCGTGTGGGCTTAGGATGTCTACATGTTCAGCTGCCATGGTGGTGCCAACCAGCGGTTCAACTTCAAGGCGGCACCAAAGTCACGACGAAGAGAAAACGACAGAAGAGACAGACAATTTTCCCCAGACAGAGACGCAGACTTCGCTGTCGATGTCGACATCGTCGGCAGTATTGTGGGACAGGCACAAACACAAGCAACATTTGTGCATTGCATTGGCATGGCTACATATCGATCAGGTCCCCATGCTGCTGAAGGATCGTATGTACGGTGAGTGCTCCTCGGCAGCTCTTTTCCGAGGCGGTATCCTTCATGTCAGGCGATCTTACAAAGCTGGGAGTCGGCTGCAGCCGTTCAGCTCGGAGCTCCTGCCTAGTTGTGTAGGGCAGTGTCGGGTCGGGTAGATGTTCACGAATGGTCCACGACAAGCTTTTCTGAAGGTCTGGAGATGGGGACCGACAAGGCGAGCCTTACGATGACTGCCTGCGTGGCGGGCAACGACAGGCAACTCTTCTTCTTTGACGGACCACAGCAGCTGGGTCTGCATAGACGCATCGGCTTCCACCATACAATCGACAAGACACCGTGAATCATGCTATGCTTCTTCTTGCTGAGTTGCGGGCTTGTAGCGACAAGACGATAGGTTGAAGTCACAGCACGACAACGGTCGATGCCTGGAGAAAATGGGTGGCGATGAGCTCCAGCTGTATTGGAAAGGAGCGTTCATGTATGCTACTTTCATCCCCCGACAGCGTTTTGATTTGTTCATGAAGTTGTTGTGCCGACGAGGCATTGAAGATGTGGCCATGCCACGACACCTACAATGGCCAGAAATGGACCTGGGACGGTGAACGGTTGAAGGTGCCTCTGCCGGTACTGCCTTCAGACACATAGCTGATTAGTTCTTCAACAAAGCCATGTGTCCGTGAATATGCATGGCCGTGAGCTAGTCGTGGCTACTGCTTACTTCGGATCCAGAGAGGCTCAAGTTTCAGCCAAGCTTCCTTGCACTCGCCGCTGTGCAGGGAGGGAAGAGTTCCAAAGCCTCATCCTGTGACTGTCACGGTTCAGCAAGCGAGGTGGAGTCCGATGGAGAATGCATAGATGTGCCTGGGAGCCGGGCAGTGCCTGGGAAGAAGAATCACCATCGTCAAGTTTACTTGTGTGTTGGCTGTTGAAGTGTAACGATGCCTGTGTAGCTGGTCCGACACCAGAATTAGGAACATCGCCGATCCTGTGACGCAGGTTCGTTTTAGGCAGCTGAGAGTCTGAGCCATTTTCCAAAGCTGCCCAGGTCTACACACACACATGCCACGGTGGAGATAACCAAAAGTTTTACTTCGAAGCGCCGGTGGAGATCGGACGGACGATCCGTGCCTGAGCAAGGATGGAAGTACGCGGCCTTGAGCTTCAACTTCTGAACTGTGGTGATGATGAGGATGCTGTGATGGTGTCGACGACGAAGAAGATGATGATGACAAGCAGGCAGGTTGTAGCGACAGGGCGTTTGTTTCTGGCAAGGCTCCAGGTGAAGGAAAAATGCCCCTCGTTCTGGTGTCGCTGATGACGGGCGAAGAATCGAAGAGGTCATAAATTGTATGCTCATGACAACGAAGACGGTGGTGATGATGACCGTCAGGATGAGACTGGTGGTGTTGATGGTGGTGCTTACAAAGATGAAGGTTTGACGTACATTTGACGCGGTGGTGATTTCAGTTTTGATGTCTATGACGACGACGAAGATGCTGTCCAGACTGATGGCAATGATTACTATGATGAGGTTCTTGCTGGTGAGGGTTGTGAAGAAGATGATCTTATGCTGCCTGCTCGACAGACCTTGAACTGCGTAGCCTTTGATATAGCTGGTCCTGTGCGAAGTGTCCGAGGTAGCGATGGCAAGTGCCTGCAGATCGGCAGCAACAGACAAGCGTACTGGTGCCGGGACTCAACTCTTAGGGGGAGGGCCGTGTTCGATGCTGCTTAGGTGTTGCGGCATTGCGGACTGGGCAGGTGGTTCGGTGGTTAGTGGGTGGACGGAAGGAGATGGATTAGGCCGATTTTGGTCGAAGGAGCTCCTGCCTTGCATGTGATGGATTGATTTGGGCGGGATTCAAGGTCCACTTGCACCGAGGCGGCGAACCAGCGCCACCAAACTGAAAGTTGGGGACTCCTGCCTCAGAGCCCGTGTCTCCCGTTGACCTGAGGCTTCTACTTCGATGGGGAAGCGATCAAGTCCGAGTACATCGATGGGTTTCTCGGCCATTGGGAGCAAGATCGTAAGGCCGCAGAGTTACAACAATGTGCAGTGTTCCTGGTGCCTGACCTCGTGAAATCTGCTAAGGTGCCTGGACTCGTGGCAAAACAGGGTGCCGCTTGGTGGAAACATAAGTGCTCAACAGTTTTGCCTTTTGAACGGAACAGAAATCACCAAGGCGGGTTCACAACAATTGCAACGGGCATTCAAATCAAAAATGGTACTGGTCCGGCGGTCATCTCAAAAGCAAATGGCAGGACGATTGCTTGGATGAAGCTTGGACTCGTATTCTGTGCGCAACTTTCGGGAATCCTTGCCTTCTGGTTTCCACGCACAATGTCCTTTGATTTTGACATTGCATTCTTTGGGAAGCTCGTGCTAAGGTGCAGCCCAGCAACAACACGGCCTTCATGGGAAGCTGTCCGGACTCGGATACTGTGAAGCTCTCCTTCCACAACCTGCTCCAGAACAGCGTGCAGCTCACAGTTGGAAACGGGCGCTGCTTGAGCAGAACAGACAGTGGCAGTACCGTGGAAGCTGTTGGGTGCGCCGCAGAGCTGCAGCAGACGCTAGGCTACGAGAAGGCGTGATCAACCTCCCAGATTTTCCTAAATATGGATTCTTCATGGAGTTACAGTTAGAGCCTCGAGAGGTAGAATGAGCTTTGTGGGCTTAGTGCAGCTTCCCCGTGGTGCGGAGCAGAGGATGTGGTATTTCAGTGGCGAGAACCTAAAGACAGAGTTCGACCACAAGTGCATGGACCTGAATGGGGGGAGTGGCAACATACATATGTCGAACTGCCACTCTAACAACGACCAGAAGTTTTATTTCGACGGCGACAACTTGCGCGACCGTCACTTCAACCGATGCCTGGATCCTTGGTCTGCATCTTCAGGCGGTCCCCGCCAGTGAAATCTGCTTGCGGCTTGTCCATGTTCCCAGCTCGTATCAGCTTGCCCCAAAAATCAGAAGCCCAGGAGTATGAAGTGCAAAGCGGCAACGTCTTCAGCGGCACCTGCCCGGATCAAACCAACCACCAGTGGCAGTTTGCATCGCAACTGGTCCTTTGTCTGTTTCCAGAAGACGTTAGTTGAGGCTGGCAGACGGCTTCATAAAGTATTTCGGAACTTGATATTAGCAGTACTCCCATAAGGCCCCGATGATGGGGATGAGCATGACTGTGGGTGGTGGTGGTGGTGGTGGTGGTGGTGGTGGTGGTGGTGGTGGTGCCGCTGCTGCTGCTGCTGCTGCTGCTGCTGCTGGTGCTGCTGCTGCTGCTGCTGCTGCTTCAGCGCCGTGCTATGTTGTGGTTGGATCATTTCATTGTATCTCTCAGTGGTTCTTACTTTTTTCGTGTTGTGTGTTGCTCTTGGTCTTGTTATTGTTATTGTTGTCCATCGTGTTCGTGTTTTTAACTCTTCTTCCTCTGCTTCTTCTCCTCATTCTTCGTCTTCTTCTTCTTCTTCTTCTTCTTTCTCTTGTGGTTGTCATCCTCGTGTCGTCGTCGTCGTCGCTTAATCACGCCATCCTGATCACGACAACTGCCATCATGCAGCATGGGCGATCGTTTTTTCTTGGTGTTTTAGCGGTAGCAATCTGCATGATCAGCACTATGGCATCCTTGCTGCGTTTGCGGGAGTGTTGTTCTGATTGCTACGTGCCCCTCCCGGGTACCAGGCTTTGAAGAAGACGCCTCTGCCCTCTTCGTTCGTCCATGGACAAAGCCTCGAAGCCAAATGTCCCTTGGTACGGGTCAGGGCTCAGGATTTCGGGTTTAAAGTTTGCGGTTTCGGGTTTCGGTGTTGGAGTTGCAGGCGCAGGGAAGCAGGGACTCCGGTGGTAGGAGCCGAAGCGCCTCGAGTGGTGGAACCCTCCTGGCCACCAGGCTGGTCTGAACGGTTTACAGCCGGAACGCTGAACGCTGCGCCACGGGCGGCATTAGACACTCGCGCTCACCTTCATTCCGTGCAGCTGTCAGCTGAAGAAACTGTTTGCCTCTGAATGGTTTTGACAAGGCGCACTCCAGAACCATGTCCTGCGTGGCAGGGGCTTGGATCAACTCCTGGAACTCCCCAGGCGAGCATGCGGCTGGGGGCAGGTTGCTCTTCGAATTTGCTCAGTCGAGCCGCATTCTGCCTCGATCCAAATGCCCGAAGACTGCCTTCTCTTTGTCAATCGGGATTTTCCCCACTCACTAAAGTCGTCATGTTGTTTTGGGCGCGACGGGCTTGTGAAGGAGTCTGCCCTGTGGCCAGGCCTCGACGGCTTCACCTGCAGCGCTTGCGTGCAGGTAGTCTCCAAAGTGTACGCAGACCTCGATTCTCAGATTCGGCAGGAGCGGGCCGGTGCAAGCAAGATCTGGTGGTCCAGAGTTCTCATGTTGATGCTTCACAGCTTTGACCGCCGAGCAGTCTCGACTTTCTAGCAGAGCAGGAGCTCTTCTTTGCTAGCGGCATGAAGCTGGCGCTCTCCGTGGACACCCGCACACCACGAACGGTGACTGCTTCGGGCAGTCTGCAGGAAGGCCGAACCCGATGTGTCAGAAGTGCGAGGGTCTGATTTTCACTTGGCGGTATTAGCCGCCTTGATTTTATAGCTATGCGGATTCGCCTCGGCCGACGTGGCAGCTGCGGAGCACGGGTAGACAGGTGAAGAAGCCTGCGGGACTGCGCTCAGCTGTTGAAGAGTAGTTTTGTCGGCACAGAACAGGTGTCAAGCAGGCCTGTCGCCACAGACCTTCTGAGTGCAAGCCCGACATGCCGCATGAACTTCGGCGGCATCAGCCTTCGGACTCAGCACTGCCATAGTAAGCAGACCCAGCAGAGCAGCCCTACAGGCGGCACGGCTGACGTCTTCGTGGCTGAGCTAATGCCGAGCGCTGCCGAAACCACGCGACGTTACAGGCGCACGCCGTTGCACTCCTTGGGGTGGCCGCGAAAGCGAGAGCAGCGAGGGGGAAGGTGTAGCTTAGCCGTCGCCAGTCGCCAGCTGTCAGGTCCTTGTCCGAAGAAGGTGCCTTGGCTGCCTGTACATACTGCAACACTGTAAGTGTGGAGTCGAGCAACCAGCACCCATGTCCCCGCACGTGAATGCCTCGATGTCAGTCGGCTTCCACTTCTTGCCCGTAGCCCCATGCCATGCCATGCCCATGCCCTCGACCGTGAGGCAAGTGCCTGAAAGCCTTGAGTCTGCAGCTGTCGTCCGCAGACTGTGCTCTGGAGGCTGAGGCGGTGGCTCGGCAGCGAATCCTGAACTGAAAGGCCTCACAGCCCCGGTCCTCAGTCTGACCCGAGGACGAGATGCTCGAGGCAGGGGAGCTGGGCTCCCTCCTCTGGGACGAGCGGCTCGACAGTATCCAATCCGGACCCAATGGGTTCCCATGTAGTAGGGCCCTCCCACAACCCGCCGGTAGCTTGCATCCCCGCAGCTGAGCCCTTTGTGCTGTTGGTGCCAGGTTCCAATCTAGTGCCGACGTGCCTGCAGCTTCTGGAGCAGGCCTCTACAATCGCGGAGCCTTGGCTTGGTGTGTTCGATGCATGCGATCCGAATGATACTCCACACATCTTCCCTTCGAACAGCGGCTTGCTGTCTCGATCATACTTCTGCCCCCAATAGCCAAAGCTATGACATGGCCAAGGCACGGCCCCGACGACTCTGCGGAGTTTCAATGTAGACAAGGATTGCTCGCCACATGTCATGGCGCCTCGGAGGAGTTTTTGGTTGGTGTAATCCTTTGCAAGCCTCTGTGACTCGAAAGCCGAGTCATCTGTACAGCTCAGCCACAACAGTCTGCTGGGAATGTCTCTTGGTATGCACTAGTACGCGTGCTTCAAGGGCGGGAGGGAGGGGGCGGGGGGGCGTAAAGTGCTGGCAGCCCTGGGCCAGGTCTGCAAGCTGCACTGCGGCCAGCACATACGGTGATGCGGTCCCTCATGCCCGGCTCCTACTTCGCTTTTTTCGCTTTTGCCTCTGAAGCATGAGATCAGGCTGTGCCAATGGTCTGTTGATCTAGGCATCACGGAATGTCCCTGAGTTTTCCTGACGCGCTCAGACCATTACCGTGCTTGGCACCGTCCAGATCACTAGTGTGAGCGAAGGAACTTGCATGAGTGACATAGTTGCAGTGAAGAATTTCATTCAGAGAAGGAGGATTACCAACTCAGGGAAAGGGACCTGTAATTCTCCAGTCTGTATGGGTATGTCCGGGAATCGTCAATGGATCGAGTGGAGTCCCGCCTCAGGTATCAATGAAATTATTCCTTGGAAGCTCGTTATTGCGGAAGACAGCCGGTGCATGGACTACCACACGGATGGATCGAGGCTCGACGGCACTTCGTGTTCTATGCATTGGGTTTGCCGAACAGGTTCCGACCTGTGATGGCAGGAATGTTGTTTTTTGCTTCTCTCCGACCAGCTTGAGGGTACTGCTAGCGGCTAGCGGTTACAATGTTGCGAGTCTTTGTACGCTGTGGTCATTTACTCTGAGGAACAATGTCTACATACATAATTGCCACGGAGGAAGCAACCAGCAATGGTACATGCTGGATGGCAACATTCTATCAATGCTGGACAACAAGTGCTTGGACGCCCACACAAGCACGGACAACGTCTACATGCACGAATGCCACGATGGTGCAAACCAGAAGTGGTATTTCGACGCAGATACAGGAGCCATTCGAAGCGAATATGACCACCGTTGCCTGGACAGGGCCAGCACCGACAACCTTTACATGCACGATTGCCACGGCAACACCAACCAGCAGTTCGAGCCCCGCCGCAATAACACGGTAGAGCATCTTTTTAAAGCTTCCGCTTGTCTCGGCCTTTTGGGGATCCTGCCTTGAGCTCAGGCCCGTCAGGAGGTATCCTCAGAAGCCTTCATCACGGCTCTTCACCTTGACTGCATCGCTCCTTTCTCAGGAATTGGAGGTCTTGTTTTGGCAATATTTGCCGGTTGCTTTTTTTGGTAAGCGTGCTGTCGGGCTTCTTGGGGCCGCCCCTTTGCGGAAGGTCCCCAAACATGATGCCATCGTAGCATCCCAGGAAGATGTGGGACAGCAAATCGCGGTCGAGCCGGATGGGAGCAATGCTAGGTTTCGTTTGAGGTGGGCTTCATGTGTTGGTCATGACTCGTGGCACAAGAAATCAACGTATCCGGTAAAGCCGGAGAAAGGAAAATGTTGCGAGCAGTTTCTTCTCTTGATCCCGGACTGTGCTCGAGGTGTGATTCATTCAGTCTTTCGCGTTATTGAGCTCGTAGAAGGAGAGGTGGCATAGCCTTCCGCCTCAGGGCCGGCGCCCACACGCTCGCGTATTTCACATATGACGCCGATACCCAGCTCCTCGGCTCCACTTGTCGTGCTGCCGAGCACCTTGTGAGCGTGCTGCCCGTTCCATCCTTCTAGTCAGAGATGCAACAGTCTAGGAAGATAAAAAGCATCGCCAACAAGTGCCTGGAAGCACGTGGCCGTGGACGTGTCGACGAAGTGGACTGCACACAGCGTGTCTTGGCAGAGGAGGGCCTTGGCGTGTTCGCATCTTGGTGAAGAGGTGCGAATTCGTGCTGTCAAGCTAATCTCGTCGCTTCGTCGGCCCAAACTCGGCCGAGGTATCGAGCAAGACTGGACCATTTCTCATGGACTGCCTGGACTTGTCGATGCACCAATAACTTGTCCTGGCGACCAAGCCTCTCGGCTTTGAGGGGTAAGACAGAGCACATCTAGAGCATGAGATTCGAGGTCATCAGCCACTTGAAGAAGACCCAGTGGCAGGTGGAGTACAAGTGCAGCCACGTCTCGTCTTTGGGAGCCTCTGCCAAGTTGTGAAGAGAATCGCCGAGGCACCGGCTCGGATGTTTGACAGGGTGCCAGAGCGCATTCGCAGCAGGAAGCCGCGATTGTCCTGCCAGAACGCCACACAGGATCGCAGCAAAACATGAACCGTAGCAGTTTCAATGACACCCGCTCTTGCTCTCGCCGAGTTCTGAAGTGCTGCCACCTGTGTGACTCCCCTACCTGGCACGAGTGAATAGTTGACCAGTGTGGTTACAGTTTTCGTCATTGGCTTCGGTTCTTCTGAGGCAGACAGCATTTTGTGCAATCAATTCGCAGCCCTCACCCTAAACCAAGCGAAAAGCCCAAGGAATGTGTTCCCCGCACTACTCCACGCAAGTTGAGACCAAGACGCACGAGCTTGAGACCATCAAGGTGCTCGAAAGCCAACCATCGCCAGTTTTGGCTGTCCACCGGAATTGGGATGCGCAGTTTTAAGATGTACGTGATGTAGAGGTGAGTGCAGGACAGTGGTGTGTGGGCGCATCGGCTTGTAGTGTGTAGGACAGCATAGGGTAGAACTGGATGCCGACTTCCCATACTGACTATACTTCGGACGACGCTAAGCCAGCACGTTCAGAATCCTCCTCTGAGAGCGCATTGCTGCTGTTGCTCCGACTTGCCGTGCCACTCGACCTCACCCTGCAACTCCGATTACATGGCTTGTCTCGGCATGTAATACTGTTCTCTCCGACCAAGCCTTATTGGCCTTGGCCAGGAGGCCAAGGGCTTTCCAGCGTGTGCCAGCAAGAGTGCGAACCACGATGCATGTCGCAGCCGTAAACAGATGCGCCCGACAAGAACGTCTCTTCTACTCGTGAAGTTCTTTCTCCTCCTCTTCTTTTGCTCTTTCTAGTAGTGGTCTTCCTACTTCTGCCGTGCCCGTGTCTACCTTCCTTCCTCATCTAGTACTGCATCTTCCTGTTGACATGTAGGCTGCCTTCAATCGAACATGGGCACCGGAGTTCCTAAAGGGACAGATGGCAGGCCTTGCGCGAGCTCGGCGCCTTCTGCCCACCCGGTGAGGGTCTGAAGACTTTGGAGACCGAGGCTTCGGACAAAGGCCGCAGGGGGGGGGGGGGGGGTTTGCTGCCCGTGTGCGCATCGCTGGATTTTTGTGGTGTTTGGGTTGATGGGTTCATGGATTGATGGATTGACAAATTGCTTCAACGATTGCTTGAATGAGTCGGAGGAAAAATCCTTCCAGCTTCAGGTGCTTGGATCCGTTTCAAGTACGTTGCCTGGCGAAACATCACCGCAGTCCTCCACTTCCTCCACTCTGCATATTGCAGCCCATGTTTGCCACGTTGGGAGGGCACGGGAGGGCTTCTTCTCAGGGATACTTACTTGTGGAGCAAGTGTCGGAAGTGTCCAAGCTGAGCAGGAAGGTTCAGTTGGTAGTTGAAGCGGTGACTTGTCGGTTCGAGAGGAGCCCTGCTCATCAGGAATGCTGTCAGATCAGCCGCGTGCCGGTGTCCATTTACCCTCTGATGATTGCCGATGATAAGCGGGACTTCGACACGGACATGGCAGAAGCCTGGGAAGGCACACCTATCAAAGGGCAGCAGAACCACTGCGATTGCAGAGTGCCCACCAAGTCACACATCTACACAGATGCCCTCAGTCACCTTCTTCAGGCGTTTACTGCCCGAGTGGCAGCGACGACAGTGGCCGGTTGGATTTCGCACAGCGGAGGCCAGCAGTTTGCGGCTTTCATCTCGACTGGTGTGCAGTAGGCATCATAGTGCGGTCAAGCTACGTTGGCAACGCAGGAGTTTCAAGCCAGGGCAAACTGCGTCGGGCTCTTTGACTTACGAGCCTTGGCCCTGCTTCCATGCTTTGTGCTGCTGAGCCGGTTTGGCCGCTTTTTTTGCAAGCCTGTTCACTGTCGAGGACAAGAACCTCGGCAACTGGTGTGTATCTGGCAAGGGCTGCGCCCTGTCGGATGCCGCCCGGTAGAGATCTGTGGGGGAGGTCTTAAGGAGTGTGGTCATGGCAGAAGGGGAGCTCGGCAGGCTTCATCCTAAGCCTCGGGAAGCCACAGTACACGTCCTTGTGTCATGATTTGTCTCTGAGGTTGTGCATCCCTTGGACACTCAATTGCACACCGACGATTGGTGACCGGGCTGTATTGCAAAGCGATAACCGGCACGCATGTCTGGGTTCCACCTCGGTGCAATCTGATCTCTTCTCAGGTATGTGGTGCCCGTCAGCGACTTCGATGCCATCTTCGAGGTTCCAGCGAGAGCCAGTCGAGTCGAGACCACCAACGGCAGTGACCCAGTGAGATGTCGCCTGTAGGACGGTACGTGTCGGAAGAGCCGAGATGTGCTTCGCGTCCCATCAGTTCTTGAACGGTTACAATCAGCTGCACATGCTGTCGTACCTTATGAGTGCTACCCATTATGTCATGTCAGGGTACTCTAGCCATGCTTGGCTGAATTTTTTTAGGTTCTCAGTTCGCAGTTTGTTTTTCTCCAAGTTTTCGCTCAGCGATATGCGTTTCGTACAGTAGTACAGGCTCAAAGTTCTAAAAGTCCCGGAAACCTTGAGAAAATCACAAAGCGCTGGCTCCATGCACCCTGGCAGGCTCGCGGCGCAAAGCAGGTGTCGACAACGAAGCGCAAACCCCCTCCGCTTATCAAGCGCCTGGGCTCACTCTTGCTGTGCGACGTTCTCTGTTCAAGGGCAGAGGCCGTCCTGCACCACACCCCCAAAGGCCTGAACATACTTGGAACTTCCAAGAACTTGGCTTTCGCACTAGGTGGTCCAGGAGGTAGAGTCTGAAAGTGTTGTGGTGCTCCGACCACTTGTCACTTTCAGGCGTATGGTTCTGAGATGTTCTGAGTTCCACATGTCTACAGCACGACGTCAACTTGCCCGCCTCTCCATGCCGTACTGAGCCCGAACATCCTGGGCCTGGAGCCGTTGAAAGGTTCGGCGCCTCCGACCCGGAGTATTTGCCAGAATGCAAGGAGCTGTACGGCACTGCTTCGCGCTGTGGTTTTGCAGCGCGATTTCTGCGAGAAGCATTTAGCAAGCCCGGTGCGTAAACTCGATGACAAGTGTAGCCTCGAGTGTCCTACATTCTGGGCAAACAAAAGTCTCCTGTGCTATGAGCTGCTACTGATATTGCGGCTTGGCCTGCTGTCAAACCTGAAGCTGCCATCTGTTCTGGGAGTTTGCGTCGGGCTTTGAGCGGGGACTTCGTGTGTTAAGCAATCTATGAAGCAATCTCCCAACAACTCAAGAACTGTATTATTTACCTCCTTTGCCTCTCTGAGTATGGTATAACCGCGCTGTTTGACGACTGGTGCTTTGCTCAGCGGCCTCTTCATTCTGCTTCCGTCCCTCTCGTGTACTGTAAGATACTGTAAGTTACACACGTGCTTGTCTGGCTGCGGCACATCCAAAGCTCTATCCAGACTTGACAGCTGCCCAAAGCAGGACGAGTCGATTCCCGGGTCGCGCAAGTTCACACTGGCCAAGATGAACGCCGAGGCCCAAAACCTGGACGACGAGAATCCATGCAAGTAGCCTCGCCTGCAACGGCGGTGTGTCAAGTTCGGATACGTTCGAGTTGTATACGGCAGCTATTCGACAAAAGTTTTCATTGACGACAAGGTATGTTTATGGCGTGGCTCCGACCAACTCCGACATGGAAAACGCGGACGGCTTGACCGGCTGGATCGATGATCTGTGCCTGGATCAGCTTTGGGTTATGCCGTGTTTTCAGTTTTAAAGGAGAGATGTAGGAGCTACGCAAGCTCGATTCAATTTAGAGGCTTCTGCTGCACATTGCCATTCAGGTCCTGACTTCCAAGTTGCAAGCAACCCAGAGTATGCGCAATCCACTGCAGATCAAAACATATTCAAGGGAAGAAGAGCAGGCAAAAGGATTGAAGACTGAAAGAGCTCATGGCCGTGAAACGTCCCATGTCGCTCGAGTAATCACTGGGTTGAGGGATTTACCTTAGAAAGCCATGAGACTCACGCCACGTTCTTAGGTTGCTCTTGTTGCTGTGGCTAGTTTGCGCACTTCCCGAGGGTCGAGAACGTTGGACCGGGTCAAGGAGGCGTGACCTACAAGTCGGTGAAAGAATGCCGGGAGCCCTAGCGGTTAGGGTTTAGGGTTTAAGTTTAGGATTAGGGTGCAGGTTTCGGGGGTGTCTAGGACGAGGGTTTAGGTTTTGTTGATGAGGATGATGATTCACAAGAGCTATTTCGGCGAGTCTTTCGCTGTAGGAGAGGCAGGGAAGGAGGCCCAGGAAGCGAGTAGCTGGGAGCCGCCCGTAGTAGGCATGGGAGAAGGACTAAGAAGAGGAGGAGTGGTGGTGGCCGCTGCAGTAGTAGGAATAGGAGTTGGGGTAGAAGTACTGAAGTACAGTAGGAGTGGTTAGGAGGAGGAGTTGGAGCAGCGGGGCGGCAGCTGACACAACCTGAAGATGAGGCGCAGACCGCGACGACATTCGGGCGCTTCAGATGGCCAAGTGGAGCCAGGCCTGTGCCGTTTGTCGACGACACTCTCTGGCCGAGACAGAGACCTCTCAATGTTCAGGGTTTCAACATTGTTCGGGTCGAGGTTGAAATGGTCGAAGCCCTGGGGGTGCTTTCTGGTTCTGGTTCGACTCGCGTGTTTCCGGGGCCGCCACGAGTTCGCGGGGTGTTCTTGCCACATTGGGTCAATTAGGCAACCAACTTTTTTAGAGAGCCTAGGGCCTGGAACTGTGTTGCGCGCCTCCGCTAGCTGCTTCCACAGAAGCGCTGCCAGTCTCACAACTACCACAGCATCGGCTTCGGCTTCGTGAAGGAGCCTCCGTGGGGAGAGGGCCTGAACCACAACTGTTCCATCTCAGCGACGAAGCTGTGAAGACAGGACTTGTTCGACGCCTATGCAGATGGCATGCCCGAAGTTGAGGCGGCTGCTAGAGAAGGGGCGGAAGCAAGTCTGGAGCTAGCCTTCTGCATGCCGGTAAACAAGGTAGCACGTGCGTCTGCCGCCGCGCGGGGTGTGTCGTTCATTTTCGGGAGGTTTTTTGGTCGAAAGCTTGAAAACCCTGTGTTTTGTGTGGTATTCGTCAACAACACGATGTTTTGGTGTTTTCGTTTTCCATTGTTTTATGTTCTTGCAATTCTCGGCATTGTTCTGGTTGGTTCTTAGGACTTTAACTTTTAGGGCTTCTATATGAACTATAACAAGTATGCAAAACATTTAACTTTTAGGAGGGGTTCAGAAGTCGGCCGAGTTTTGGTAGCGTTTTCACAATGCTTTTCGTCTTTGATTTTTGTTGATTTTTAGGGTCAGTTGCGAAGTTTTTGTCTGGAATGTTTCGAAAACTCGAGGTTTTTGCAAGGTTGACGTTTCAAATGTGAAGCAACAAGAAGCGGAAGCAAGGGCTTCACAGAGCAACCGGCAGCGTTTGAGAAGCAACGCAACAAAAGAAACAGAAGACACAAGCCGCATTCGCATTGACGTCATCACCCCCCCCATACCCCCGGACCCCCGCACAGAGCGTAAAAGACAAATGCAAGTCGAAGCCGGCATATGCAGAAAGTCGAGAGTCGGCAAAAATACGGTAACAACCAGTGCCAACTGCGACAGACACAGGAAAACACCAAAAAAGCGATGCGAACTGGAGAGCTGAGCATGTTTTTTGTACAGTGCAGCCCGCCGGTTGTTGCATTTTTTGCGAGAAAACACCGCAAAAAACCGATGCGAGAACACAACGCAAGTTCAAATCCGGGCGAGCAACGTGCCAGAACTCGAGTTTCAGCACATGCCAGCAAAGAAGTCGCACCACCCCGCGCGGCGGCAGACGCGTCTGCCGTGAACAACAAGTACCTTAGCAAGTACATGAGTACGAAAGGAAGAAAGCAATCAAGCAAGTTGGCAGGCAATGTGCTAGCAAGCGTGCAGTCTGACTGTTTCTCCTTGTACCCGTCGTTCCAGCTGCCCGGCTAACTCTCATCTCCTCTCCTCTCCTCTCCTCTCCTCTCCTCTCCCCACCCACCCATTGACTTACCCACCTACGCACGCACTCACTCACTTCTCCGCGGCCAGTCTGCGCCACTGGGCGCCGGATTCGAGTTTCAGCCTGGCTCGGTCATGGCCGCCTACGGTGCCGGGCCCTGCATCCAGAGACCATGACGTCGACGTCTTCCAAGGATCGTCGAGTCTAGAGCCTTCCGCATTTCGGTGTTGTGTTGCCGTTTGGTCAGCGGTGCAAGATTGCCTGAAACCAGTCGATGAGGTGCCTTCTACTACGGCGTGATTCAGATGGCCGAAGACATTAAGCTGCAGCAGCCGCATGGTTGCAAGCGGAGTTGTTCTAAACCTCCGCCTCTTTAAAGGTAGACAAACAGTGCACTTCATGTTTAGGCCGAGTTCAAGCAATGTTGGTAATTAGTGTAAGGCGCATGGGTTATGTTGGCATGCCTTGTGCAAAGTCCGTTCAGCTCGGTAGCCCATTGTCGACCGCAAACGGACATGATGAGGGTTTATTGTTCATATCAATGTTTCAGTGTGAGAACGCGTTTAAAACAGGGCCTACGGAAGAGCGTGGGCGAAGCGCAAGGCTGTTCTCGAGTTAAGCATTGCAGCCACAACAAAGAACAACCCCGCACCCCATGTGCCTTCGAGAAATTACTGGCATATTGCAGGATGTAGACATGCCATCTTTTGGAAACAGGTTTTCATTGGACTACGGTGAAGCTTTTACGAGTTGTTGCACATATACAAGCCTCAACCACGTCCTTATTTCAGGGAAGAGTTGACCACATGCACGAAGGAATGAGATGCACTTCGAGGAGGCCGGATATGGTGATTGCAATCCTCTTCAGCTGCTCGGCAATGGCGGGATCTACTTTAGGTGCTCCTCTTTTGGCAGGTTCACCAGTTCTGGTTTTCCTTGTGAAATTTCGCTTCGATGATCTTGGGGACTCCCTCAGCAGCTGTATGTTGCCTGCGGTGTATGGTTTTCATCGCGGCGCTGTTTTAAAGCCTTTGCCAAGCTCTTTCCAAGCCCTGGTGTAGCTCGATGCGAAGCACGACCGCCCTAAGTGCACTTGAACAGGTGCTTCTTGCGTCTTCTTGCAGACGCGAACTAACTTTTTGTTGCTGTACCGTCTTGCTGATGCAAGGCACGGCTTCGCCCGGGCCTTTTGTGACCTGCACTGCATCCGCGATGCTGTGAGACGCTGGGCCTTTTTACGGAGTTGCACGGAACTGGAAATCATGGATGCAACGGGGCTGAGTTAGGCCTTGTGAGTTTGCCTTTGCGCCGCCCTTGATTTCGCTGCAGGAAAGGGCGATGACGCCATCCTAAGAGCGGTGGAAGAAGCGGTTGAAATCATCGGCAAGAACACGCAGATCCTCCTTGAGCACTATGCCACTTTACAGCATTAAAGGAGTTTTAGCAAGCGGAATCTTGGAATCCTTACTGTGGATAGTGTCTCAACAAACTGAAGCAAACTTCGAAAGCATTCATCTGCAATTCGGTTCCTGCTAGGATATCGCATGGTATCGTGTCCAGCTAATATGCGAAACCCCTTGAAGCAGATGTACTCCCAGGTTGGGAGCGAGTCTGGATCACTGGTCCAGGAGGCAGATCCAGTGCCTGCCTATGTTCGAAGCCGCTCCCGGCGGCAAGCCTGTGCTTGATTTTCTCCAATGCCAGGGCACTGAGATCCGCCACGGCCTGGCAGCTCAGCTCGCAGAGCTCAGGGCCACGGCCCAGGAGGCGAGGGCAACACAGAGCCAAAGCGGGGCTATCACAGGCGATCGCCGCCTGCCAGGCCGCCCTGCAGCCGCGCGCCTCCCAGGCCGCTGAGCGCGCCGTGAGGAGCTTCTCCGGGCGCTGGCGACGCGTCGAAGGCCCGCAGCCCAGAAGAGTCGCTGCGAGGGACGTCCTCTTGAGATCGTGACCAGGTGCTGCGAACGCTTCGGAGAGCTTGGCCTCGCTGCGCGCCATGGCCGAGGACGCGTCGGAGCTCCACTCGACCGCCTCCCGCCGTAAGCATCGGCTCAGCAGCAACAGCCTTGGGGGCGGGTGTGACATGTGCTGCCAGAGCATCTGAGGTAATGCTGGTGAAAGGCCAGAGGCTCTCCCACGTTGAGGAGGTTCAGCGGAATGCCCTGGAAACGGCGTCTCGAACGAACGACTTCCTCAAGGCCCTTTTTTGAGGATGTGATCAATGCTGGCTGTCGGCTACAAGATAATATCATATAACACATCTCAAGGGGCCGAACCCTCTGTGACCTCAGACCGAACAGGCGAAAGTTCATGACCTTGGCCTGTACCACCAGACGGCCAAACGGAGCAAGATGGTGCAACGCTGGTTCAAGCAGCACTGGCAGAACAAGTGGCCTGGATGATATGTTGCCCCTGCAGCTCATTGAAGTTGTTCGCTGATTGCGCGGATGTGCATGCTGTACCCAGGTTTTCAATGCTGGATGAGTTTCAGGAGCTGAGCATTGCCCAAGCTATGCAGACCTTTGACACCTCTTGGTGGGAGATCCGTCGGAAGCTGGACGCGAATCTCAGCAGCAGGGGCTTCTGGGGTCTTTCTGGAAAGGTCCCAATAAACATGCCCGGGGAAAGGGCCCCCAAAATCCGGAGCCTGACGAGGTACCTTGATGCGGCGACCGAGCAAGCACGCGCCATGAGCTCTGCCGTGGACGCCCTAAGAGGCCAGGGCTTCCTTTTCGGACCATTCGGTGCTGAGTCTTCGATTTATAAAAGCCCTTGCAAACTTGCTATGAGGATACACTGGGAAATGCCAGACAAGCTTCGAGCAGCTAAAGAACTCCTACGCTGCGTCGGTGCGGGCAGAGAAGTCGCTTGGCGCTGCAAAGCATTATCGAAGTCAGCCCTACGAGCCTCCTCCTGCTGATGTGTGGCAGATCTTCGCTTATCCTTGCGCCTGACCACGGACTAGGAAGGCCCATGCTGTGCTAAAGAAGACGTGGTCCGACGTGGTTTTCCAGGCCGAAGATGGGGTAAAGGGTGCAACCTTGTGAGAAGCAGCACCATGCGTCGGTGGAAGTCTCTTGAGGGCGATCAGACGGGGGGCTTTCTCGAGTGAAGCTTGCGTCTGACCGAGTGGCTCCAAGCCCTGCGGCACTCCCACGTCCATTCGGGTCCCGAACCCTCAACACGAAGCCGAAGCCAACGCCTAGAGGGCCTCGACTCCTGGACCCTGCAGGCAGGGCTGATGGCATCAAAGATTACTGATGCCGGATTGCTGGATCGGCTTGCGCTGGCAGACATCAAGGACCGGCCGGACTCTGTTTTGGGTCTAGGGGCTGACACTTCAGCAGCTAAAGCCGGGTCCTGACGATAGACTCCAAACATCTAGCAAGGTCGCTGTGCGACCTTAGTTTGGATCCTCGGCTCTTTGGCCAGAGGGTGTAGAGAGGGCTGCAGCACTGGGGCACTGGGCTGCCTGCAGTGGCGGATCACCTTACTATTGCGACGTGCTTGAAACTATACCGGGCCAAGGGCAGGAGCTTTCATACCCCCTGTCGCTGCTAGCCCGCATGTCCAAACCATCTAAATCTGGAGATTACCTCGGGTTCAGGATTGAGTGGAACAGCCCGCAGAATACGTCACTCGACCTGCGGCGTGCTGATGTAAGAACTTACATTAAGTGTCCGAGCACTCATCATTAGAGGCACGCTGTTGAACTATAATCACTTCTCCGCCCGCTGCTCCCCATGTTCCGCGTTCCGTTCGTCAATGCTTTGCAGATGCACTTAACAACTGACTGAACAGAGCCGCAAAAAGACAACGAACTTCCCCAAAGCAGCAGCGTTCCACTGTCATTCCTTGCTTCAGCCGGCAAAGAGAAAAATTGGCATGCATTTGAGTGGGGTGTATTGAAACGTGACTATTACATGGTCTGCACAGGAGGACAAGGTACATGTAAGACAAGACAAGATGTCCAACCGTTCTTCTCAGGCATCCAAGCAGCCCGCCGTGGACAAGGCCTGTCCTTGCTTCCTGGATGGTGGATTCCCAAAGTGCGTGAAGCTTTAAAACAACCTGAACTGAAATCCTAAATGCGACGATTCGAACCCTGTCCCTTGACTCTGCCTCCAGGCGGCTGCTTCCGCACCCCGAATCTGGAAACCCAAACTTACCGCGAAAAGGGCATCTTTGCTAGCATCGGAGGCGCAGCTGGCCGGGTTTTGCAGCGGCAGCGATGCTGCAGCCTTCAAGCTCATGCACGCCCACCTGGCTGAGGCAGAGAGCTGCAGTAATTAGATGCGGCGCAACCGCCGAGTCCCTTTCTCTCTCTGTGTGTTTATTTGTCTATCTACGTTTCCAAGGTGCTTATCTCGCCTTTTTGTCTACCTGCCCAGCCATCGACCTAAATGTCTGCCTAACTATCTATCTACTTATCTGTCCATCTATCTATCCATCTGTCTATCTAGAGGTCTGTCTATCTTTCGATCTTCGTCTCGACTTATCTATCTATCTATCTATCCATCTTTCTGTCTGTCCCTCCGTCTGGCTGTATGTCGATGGAGCTAGCTATCGATCCGTCGAGCGCCAACCTGTCAATGCATCTGTTTAGGCGGGCGCGTGATTAGAACAAAGCCTTCCTATTGCTTTCTTGTTACAATCCTACCGAATCATTTGTTCTTCGGCTCTTAAATACGGCCCAATGTTTAAGATGCCCCTGGGTGCTTGGCGCATTTCTCAAACTCCAACCCCTTAAACCTAAACAACTGACCAATGACACGGCACGTAAGACTTACCAAACACACCTATGCCGGGTGCGGGGCCTACATGTTTCAGCTTAACCACCTGGTCTTATCGTAAACACTCGATTCCGGCAAAAAAATCGCCTTTACACACCAGAAGCTGCTGTTTTAAATCCCGCGCCCGGCTCCATTGATATGTCTGTCTGTTCGCCTACCTACCCAGCTACCTATCCATCTGTTTAAATAACTGTGACAACACGAGGAAATACGCCGGCATGCATGCCTGCCAACTACCTACATACCTACCTACCCTATCGACCTGCCCTACCGATGTGCCGACTGCCGACCTACCGACCTACCCACCTTCCTGCCGACCTGCCTACTCATGTAGGTACGCATGTAGGTACGTGTCATGCATGCCTGCATGCATACATACGTACGTACATACATACATGGTAGTTGATCTAAAGCTCCTTGAGCCATAATTTATATGAAAGGTCCACTGCATAGTAAGTATGCCTTCGCGAAAGTTCCGCGATGGTGCCGCGAAAACAAGCTTACAAGCACGGCCGCATCTATATGGCTAAACCTGAAGCAGAACATGTGCTCAGAGGGTTTGAGTTGCAAGACCCAGTTTCTGGGAGTCCACACCATCAGCTTGTAGCTCAAGTTTCAAGCGTATGGTCATAGGTCGTCGGCGAAAATCGTAGCCCAGAAACGACGAAGATGAAGTTTTTCTGTGGAGGTGACTGGACAGGGGCTCCTGGGCCAGACGCAGCGGCAGATTGGGATTCTTTTCCTGGAGATGGCCATGCGGCTCGGCCGGAGGTTTTTTGGAGAGATGGTTGAAAGTTCGAGCAGGTGGGGACTAGTCCGTGGGTTTAGGGAAACGGGTTGTGGATATAGGACAACCTGGTCTCCTAAACCCCGACCCGCATTGAACTCTGCCGTTTTTGAGACCCGCGAGCCTCAGACTCAGAATTCCAATCGTTGATGTGCTGGAGGACGTAACCCGCAAGCCACCAACTTCAAACACCGAACATCGCAGTTGATCAAAAGCTCAAACTAGACCCGAACCATGCTTAAACCCGAAACCGAATTACAAAATCCTGCGACTTGGAGCTTGGATCCCAGCACCTCACCAAACCCGAAACTCGAGCCCAACTTCCCAATTTACAGCAACACTCTTCTCGAACTCAAAATGCGGCAGACCAACAACCCACACCCGAAACCTCAAAACCAGAAGACAGAAACTCAAAGCCCGTTCTGCTGAAACCAGAAATTGCAATTCCAAACCGCGAGCCCCTGCCTCCGAGGCCCACGACCACAAGCCCCCCATCTGCTCCGCCGCAGGCTCCGGCACCGTTTCCAGACCGGAGGTCTTGGCGAGGCCCCCAACGCGGAGGCCCTTTCTGAAGTGTTTTGGGAGTCTTGAGCTGTCTGACCGGACTGAGTTTCGCGGGCTTTCGAAGAAGGCACCAAAGGACGAGGAGGCAAAGGGGGAGGGGAAGGAGGAGAGGAACATCGGAAAAGTCCCAGTACGATTCTCATCGTTGATAGCATTGCCATCAATGTCACAACATCAGTGCCGCATGATCCTCACTATCTTCGTGACGTCTGAACCGTGAACCGGCCGATGACTGCTCGATTCCTGAACCATATGCTATGATGTACTATATACTGTACGATACTATACTTTACTATGCTCTCCTATACACCCAAAAGTCCTTAAACCCTAAAGCCCTAAGGCAAAAATCCCCTTGGCCACAGGAAGCCGTGGAGGCCCAGGACCGCTTGGGCCGTGCCCTGGAAGACGCCCGGTCCGGCGCCAACCACTTGGCAGGGCGCCCAGGGCCCCACTATAGGCCCAGTTAGGCCCATTCAGGCTTTAGGGTTTAGGGTTTTTCGGTGGATTCAGGCTTTAGGCATAAGGCCCGTCACCTCTCCCCTTCTCCCTCTCACTTTCTCTATCGCCGTTCTGTTTTGCTCTCCATTTGTACCTGAAGACTTGTCTCTGTTGCTAATATTGCCTAATTAGCCATGTTTAAGTTTAGTCCATTTGGACATTGATGTCAATGTTTGAACATCGATGTCAACGTCTTTGTGCGGACGCCTTCTGCATTTGTGTTTACAGGACCCTGACATCTACATCTACATCTACACCTGCGGTTACGTTTTTTGCTTCCATCTGCCTGTGCATAACCACAGTTGTAACTAGATGTACCCGTGGCAACACCTACATCTACGCGTATGATTGCTATGTGTAAGCACCTGCCCTTGCCGTGTTTCCATCATGCATCTCTTCGCAGGGGGCATGCCTGTCCTGGACAGTTTGCGTTGCAAACTAGCTGTTCGAAGAAGGCTCGTGGCACGCCAGTATGGCGTTTGAGATCAGTCCTGATCCATCTTTATTCGTAGGTACGTGTTCTCGGCAGAGCACTTGCGACTGTCTTGGAGAAACCGCTTGAAGTGCAGACGCCCTACCCACAGGCTGCTACAGTTACACATGCATACATGCATCCTAGCACGGATGGATGAATGGATGGCGTGGCTGGATGGCAGCTTTCGCACTGCTGGCCGGGTGTGGGGCACGTCGCTTGGGACGGAGGACCTGTGTGGGAACAGGACTCGTCCGGGGTCCTTTGGGGCCAACGTGCAGCGATCTGCTGTGCATGACAGTGGGGCGATGGGCTAACGCGCTCACTGGGGGACTCCCACGGTACAAACGCGGAGAGCTAGAGGGTCTCTGCCTCTGCGCTGCAGTGCAGGCTGTGCCGACTGGCGGCGTTAGAAGGGGAGGCTTCGAAGAAGTGTGCAAACAAAGAGCTGCAGGAAGCTGTCAGTGGACGTGCTTGATCCATTTGTGTTCGTGTCGCTAGCCGTTCATGCACCCACACGGGACTGCGTGTCTAGGTCAAACAACATGTCACTACGATAGCTGAGGCAGGTCAGCGTGGTGTTTCAGATCGATCCTGACCCATCTTTGTTCGGAGATACGTGTTCTCGACTGTCTTGGAGAAGCCGCTTGAAGTGCAGCCCTACCCACAGGCTGCTACAGTCACACATGCATACATGCATCCTAGCACGGATGGATGAAAGGGTGGCGCGGCTGGATGGCAGCTTGCGCACTGCTGGCCGGGTGTGGGGCACGTCGCTTGGGACGGAGGACCTGTGTGGGAACAGGACTCGTCCGGGGTCCTTTGGGGCCAACGTGCAGCCATCTGCTGTGCATGATAGTGGAGCGATGGGATAATGCTTTCACTGGGGGACTCCCATGGCACAAATAAGAAGTGTTTCGACAAAGAGCTGTAGGAAGAATTCAGGAGGAGTGCCGATTTTTTTGTGTTCGTGTCGCGAGCCGTCCCTGCCCCACGCGGGACTGCGTGTCTGGCTGAAAAGCTTGTGGCCATGATGAATGTCCCGATATATGATGGTCCAGCTCCGATGGGCTCGACGATCTTGCGGAACCCGCTTGAAGAGAACCGCACCTGTGCCAGCCACAGTCAGCAACTTTGCCTCGTTAGCTAGTGGGGCAACCATGGGCAACCTGCAGAGAGCTGATTTGCATGTCTTCGCATGATAGTGTGGGGAACAACTGATGCTCTCGCTGGGGAACTCCCACGGTTCACGTCTGACAGTCCGCGCTTTTGCATTCTTCTATGCTTGGAAGCTTGTTTCATTGACTGGCTGTATGTTCCCCAAAGACTTGGAGTCTGTGATGGTGGTTGAATTACAGTACGTCAGGCCGACCGCGTGTCTGCATGTCAGTGCATAAACATGAGTAACATGCCGAAGCATTGGTGTGCTGATGAGCTTTTGCATGCTTCGATTGAGACATATTGAGACATTTTGGGATCTACCAGATGTCGTCGTGTAGTTTCTATGGGTGTCCTGACCTGCAGAAAGCCTGAGAAGCCGGTTCTCCGCAAACCTTGTCTGTGTTTGATCGCCCTGTGCCTGCTTTGCAAGATTAACGTCTCTTCGGCTCGCTGAGTTTCTCGTAAAACATTGTTCTAATAGATCCATGGATGGGGGTGTCTAATCCATATTAATATCTGTTTCTGCGTACGGGTCTTTCTATCTGTATATATATATATGTATACACACATAAATACACAAAGATATTTTTCTCAGGGCTTCAGAGTTTTCAGGCTGCAGACGTTGTGCACCATTGGCGAAGCCACCTCTGTGAACGCTGACAAGGCAAGGCTTCTATGACCTACCCCTGATGTTCGGAAACTCCCATAAATATATATACACACACATGCAGAAAGTTATGTATACACAAGTTCATACACCCAGACACACCCATATACATGGATGTACATACATACAAACAGACATATATGTATGTATATATATATATATATGTATGTATATCTATATGCATATATATATATATATATGTTTTTATGTACATACATACATACATACATACCTACTGCATACATACATACACAGATACACACATATATATATATATATGTATGTATGTATGTATGTATGTATATATATATATATATATATATGTATATGTGTATGCATGTGTATATGTTTATATGCACACATATGCACAAACTCGTACATACATACACACATACACACATACAGACATATGCACATATAGGCTTGCATGTTTGATAGAACATGGACGGATAGATGCACAGATAAGTGGATGGATTGACCGTTTGGCTTTGGTCAGGCTTGAGGAGGCCTGCCCAGAAGCGGGCCAGGCCAGGCGGCACCTCGACCACTCGCGCGCGGATACCTTTGAAGGATTCTGCCTTGCAGGCTCGCCTCGCTGTCTCGAGAAGTTTTGAAACCGGGTGTCAGCCTGCAGCACGCTTTCGTGTTAGCCACCGGAAGCCGAGAAAAGAACTGCTTATGCGCTGCTTGTAGCGTGCCAACGCAGCAGTGTTCATGGTACTGTAGTCCGAGAATGTCGTTGCTGTCGTGATGATGGTAGCAGCCAGACTTGCAAGCACTTGTAGCCGTGTAGCCGTAGCAGCATCAGTCATGACAATGCCTGCAACACAGAATGGCTTTGCTCGGCTTGGGGCTCAAGTTTGCGAACGAATGCAGGGGCTAGTAGCGGGTATTGAAGTGCCAGCAATCATAGCAGCAGCCGGAGAGTCTATGCTAAATGTGAATTCAGTTTCTCTGCACAGCACGGAGACGAGGATACTCTTGTTCAAGCTGAAGTTTTTTTCATTCCGATCGGAGTTCGCATCTTCTTATTGCAGCATCTCTTTCAGTCTCTGCCATGGCTCGAGAGGACAGAACTGCAATGATCAAGGATTTGGAGCGAGTCATGTGTTGACCTGAGTACGTGAGTTACATCACAGGGCGTGGTACTTCGTGCATATCGGGGTCTGGAGTGCGGCACTAACACCCGAAACCTGAAATGCTCTTTGCCAAGGGAGGGTGTCCGTCAGCAGCTGTCTGGTCCTCAGCCACAGCTTATGCTTCTTGGCTGCAGTTGAGCTCGGAAGCCTGTATGTAGTTGATTGTTCAAAGTGCCGCTCGATAGTTGATTGTTGCGATGTATCTGGCCTGCAAGAACTGCCAACTTTGATAACAGCGAGCAGGGGGCCCTTTTTAGTTTAGCTTTCTCGTTGTTTTGAACGTGGTTTGTTTGCTCGACAGGGTTCTTTCGCTAGTTCGGATGCACTGCATGAGTAGGTTCGACCTGAAGGGTTTACACATTGAAGGCACGCATGATCAGGTCTCAGCCTCCTTTGAAGGCCCAGGCCTCTAGAGTCTTGGGGCCCTTGAATAGGGCCTCCAAAGGAAAGCACGCGTTGCTTGTGCTTGGAGTTGCGGATCATGGCGCATACTCACGCGAGACGAACGCTTAGTCCCGTCGACACCCGCAGCTTCAGGGCACGAAGCGAAGCTCGGCGATCCAGTGTTGACCCTGAACCCCCAGGCTGTGCGATGGATCCGTTGATCCTAGCGGCGAGGCATCTGAGAAAAGGCTCCCGTGGTCGTCTTGGACGATTCAGATTCATGGAGGTGTTGAATTGCGTGGCTTCGGGGGCTATGGGCTACGGGGTTCGAAGATGGACGATGCGAAGCTACATGTTTGATCCTCGCTTGCGCCAGGTTCCGGAGAGAAGACGAGGATGTCATGCAGCGCAGAGCACAGCTGCTCTCAAGGCTGCGGCTTAGCGATTCGCCTGCCAGTCCCCTGGCAGCAGGACGAGGAGAGGTCCCTTGCAACCAGACGCTAAGAGCCCTGTCTGCCAAGGCTTGGATGACCTTGTGCGCAATGGCCTCACCTCATCGCAGCAAACCAAGGTCCTGAACCAGGTGCCACGAAGGGAAAGGAGGGCTGGTCCTGTGTCGTATGGGCTTGGCCTCGTCCCTCGCTTCTCGGAGGTTTTCGGGTTCCTGTCGGAGGAAGGCGCGAGAGGAGGCCTCGCAGTACGACCTGGGCCAGCGATGAGCTTACTTGATTCCTTCATCCCCTCCTTCAAGCTTTGGCTTGGAAGCGCTTTCCTACCACCACGTGCAGCTTCAGGTCCGTGCGGCCCGGCGTGTGGCAGGTCGCCGGCTACCCAAGTTACAGATTCGCCTGCGACCTCGGAGGCTGGAAGGTAGCATGGAAGAAGTGGCGCAAGACTCACCTCTGCTAGCACGAGTTGCTGTAATGCCCATGACCTCCGTGTGGCGTGCTTTGCAGGGTTTACTGGGAGCTTCGCCAGACGCGTTGTGGCCAGAAGTGTTGTTGAAATGAGTCGGTGTGTGTTGTCTGCCGGCAGGTTTTGAAGGTTGGGCTGTCCTAGATCCTAGTCGAAGTTTACAAGAGCATTTCGCTGCCACTCCTTATCCCGAAACCCTCTGCTGCTCCCTTCGCAGCACGAGCAACACAGGCACGGTCGCGGATCCACGGAGGAAGACAGAGACATGACAGCTGAGGAAGTGGCTCAGTATGAACTCAGGTTGGGCTGTGCTTCGGCGTGGAACTTCGGATGATGCCATGTTGACAAGATGGGGTTTGAGGTAGGTATCTGGCTCCAAGATCTGAATCACCTGGGCAGCCCAGCCCACCACGCTGTTGTCCGAAACCACGGGAGTCGAACCTCAGAAGCTCACGAAATCCGCGGAAGACCACGGAAGACTTGACACGCTCGGAGAGCTCCAAGGTCCGACGAGAGATCGAAGCGAAGCTTTCCCTGGCTCGCGACCGTGCGTACTCGAGACTGATGTCCCAGTACGAGCATGTTGCGGCCAAGGCGACAGGGATTGGAGAGGGGACAATCCCACATTGAACACATCGTTTTCTAGCCACACTACTAGCAACAGACCTGTGGGTAACGGATCTGTGAGTGCCAACTGGAAACGGGGAGCGAAGCTTGAGTGAGAGCGACAGGGCCTGCGCCTGCCTGGGCACCGGCGTATCTCTCAGGACGTCATGAAAATTGTGGGCGTCTCAGGATATGTGGGGGGAGGACGTACAAATTGATGGTCGGGTCGTTTATTTCCGCATAGGGGCTTTCAAACTGTTCCCTTGGCCAAGGCACGCAGGAATCTTGAAGAGGCTCGCTTGGCCTCAGACGAGAGGCAGGCACACTGGCGAGGAGAAGGATCCTCAGGCCATTACCTCCGATGTCGACGTGCCCTCGTCTGTTTAAATCCGGATCCCGAAGCCAGTTCTCTGAAGCTCCGGCAACAGAAGACAAGAGCACTGTTGCACTTCACAGCCTCCGATGGTCTTCAGTTGCGGCCGGCAAGGGCGAGCAACAGCACACAGAGCTTGGTGATGCGGACGGCCATGCCAAACGGACAGCTTCGCAAGGCGGGAAGTGCCAGTGGCAACCGTGCTTCAGCTCCAAACCCAGTCGACAGAGTATGTGCAGGGTATGTGCGAGGAGAGAACAGTATGAACAGTCTCGATCAAAAGGCTTACCTTTGCCATCTTCTTGTATGATCAGACCTCGAGTCCTCGCGCGAAAGGCTCCTTGACGACCGGTGGCGGGCGCAGCCATCCACCGAAAGTGGCTGCTCGGGTGGATGATGAAGCTTTAAGGACCGAAAGCTCAGACCTAAAACACTGAGTGGGAAGACTTTCTTCACCCTCAATGTCTTCGTCAACCCGTACAGCGTCGGTCGAACTGGCTGAGGCCCCGATACAGCCGGAGAGCCTCCCCGCTGTAAGGAGGCCGAGCTCCGCTCCAACAAATCACAAACGATTTCCCAATGTGCGGTCCCGCCTCTGCGCAGGTCCAGGACGGTGGAGAATGAATCCAAGCAGGCTGGGTCACTCTGGTCTCATTGGGTCAGGTGTAGGCGGATGTGTGCAAAAATCACAGACCCCAACCAAACCACGAAACTTTCAAGAGACAAGTGAGCTGTTCGCACCCTACGGCAGATGAGTTCGTCAGGGGATTTCTCGTGAGAGCACGACCGGTCGGCGCCTTGGAGTCTGGTCGATGCATCATCATGAGACTCTTAAAGGATGGCGCCAGTGTACAAGTAGGAGTCGTCGGAGGCATTGTGGTATGCAGGGGTCCGGCATGGTTAGCCGCTCTCCTTGAAAGCAATCGCACGGCCAGGACTAGGACCGCCGTTATTCGGAATCTGGACTCCTGGGTGCTGGCTTCCCTTGAGGACTCTGCAGCCAAGCGCGCTCCGCATCGGCAATGCTGGCCATCGAAGGGCCGCGAGCCCGTCAGCCGCGCTGCAGGCTGGCCTTGAAAGAATCAGTCGAGTCCGGGCCAGGGAGCTGCTGTGAAAGCACGGAGAGACACGGACAACAGCGCCAGGTCTGATGTCGGGGACGAGCGCGAGGAACAGGACCAGGACCAGGACGAGGCAATGGAGGACGATGCCGTCAGCGACGCCGACGAGGAGGCTGAGGAAGAACGCAAGTCGGTGGACAGCGACGAGGAGCTCAACGTGGACACGCAGCCGCAACTTGCGGAAGACGATGAAGCTGAGCAGGCCACCGGAGACTTGTTGGTTCCATGTCCTTGCAACAGCCGAAGCCGCTAAACTGCTAAACAGACCGAAGTCCGCGCTTCTCGCAGGTGCAGCCCACGCGGAGGCTCCGGCAAAAGACGGCCGAGCAAACGCTATCGTTGCCGAGTCCGCCCGCTGAGTATCCGTCCGATGCGTGGCCCAAGCGATGGAGGGGCCAAGCCGCCCCAAAGCCCGGTGAGCCAGGATTCAACACCTATGCTCAAGAGTGCATCGCCACGGTGCTGAGATGGTGGGATGAGCGGGGCGTGAGGGAGGGTCACGAGAAATACCAGAAAACTGCAGCTTGTCGTGGAGAGCCTTTAGCACTAGCGCAGATACTTGTGCAGCAACATTCGTTAGGTTCAGTTCCTGTCTTACTCTCGCATCCTTCCGGCCCCATAGCCAAGGCAGAGGCTGTGGCGCACCCGCTTTCTCCGTGCAAGCGTCTGCTTATGGACGCCAGGATGGGAGCAGGCAAGACCAAGGCAGGCTTGTCAAGGTAGAGGGCGTGCGGCATGCATGTGACACGGGCTCCGTGGCATTCCGTGGCAATTTGCAGGTCCTAATCACTGTGCTGGACCAGCACTTCACCGACAAGCGCAAGAAACTGCCAATCTTTCCGACGAAAGCCCTTGCAAGCAACTTCTACCACGAGCTTCTTCGATGGCCTAATAAGTATCGCAGCTACTTTGCCCTTTTGCAGCCGGAGCTCGCCGCAAAGGCCGTGCCGCTGAAAGGAAGAATGACCTCATCCTCGCTGGTACAGGCTCTAGAAGAATCCGAGACGAAGGAGTGGAGCGTTCCTCCCACGGAGGCCAACGAACTGGCAGAGCGGCTTCGCATCGAGCTTGAAATGACATCGCTCCGCAAAGAGAGCGGAGAGCGCATGTGCGGAGTGAACCGTGGAAGATTGACCCGCACCTTCACCCGGTGGTTCCAGGGGAAGTTTCCCACGAGGCAACACTTGCTGCCTGGAGCGCCACTCCGAGCAATGAACCTCAGCACAGCCGGGGGGAGTTTTTCTTCCAAGCGACCAAGTGGTGAAGCGCGCCACCCAGTGGCACAATTCGGCTACGATCTGGCCACGAGGAACGTCTTCGATAATGCCGTGGTCGTTATTGACGAGGCCCACAACATGCTGTGCCACCCCAAGGAGTGCAAGCTCCTGAGGCCAGGTGGGATCACAACAGCAGATACCTGTCATCCCCGCGTAAAATCCCCCGCGTCCATGAAGAGGCCGCAGCTGGACTCTGCCTCCAACCTCACGCTGATTTGTGCCTTTGCTGCAGCTCAAAACTTCAGGTTTTCGATGCTTGTGTGTCGTCTCTAAACCTAAACAGCCGCGAAGGTCTCAGCGGCACTCCGCTGCCGGACAACCCAAAGGCCAGGCAACCTCGTCATCTTGCCTTGCCTTGATTGACGATTGTTTTGAGAGTTGGGAAGCACTGCGGCCTCGCTGCTTTTGAGGTGAAGCTGGCAGACTTACCCGCCCACCTGCAGAAGCAGCGTGAGCAGCTGGAAGGACCCTTTGATCCGCTGGATGAGGGGTGCTTGCCGCCTGGAGTGCCAGGACTCCTGCATGGCTGGACACCCGAGGTGTTGAGAATTCTGAAGGCTCGGGTGACAGCCGGGGATTTCAGACAGCTTCCAGAGTGACTGGTGCATGAGATTTTGGGATTTGTAAATTTGGAGTCTGGACCACGGAGTTCTGCTTTTGCTAGGGCCCAGAAGAGTACACCCGAAGAGCCCTTGCTTCCGACAGGCAGTCGCCAGCGCGGCCGGCCTGCCTGTTTATGTGGCGGCGCATCTCTTCGGAACCTGGGCTGATGTGAAGCAGTGGTCCATCGTGCCGGTAATTTAGAACATTCATGTTTCATCTTTTTACCCTGGGCAATCTTCGCAATCTTGGTCAGTCTTGGTCCAAAAGCAAGATTTTTCAGCAATCTTGCAGTCTTGGTCCAACTTGCAATTTTGGTCGTTTTGCCCCACTTGCTTGCCGACTTGACTAGTTTACCTTTCAGACCAAGATTTGAAGATCGCTGGCAATCTTGCTCCGTCCCCCAGGTTGCGAGAGAAACTTGCTTAAATCATGGTTCTAGATTCCCGCCCCACTGCAATGGTCCATGATGCCTCAGATGAACAGCAGGAGAGGAGGGATGGAGGAGGACGATGAACATTTCCAGCAGATGAAGCTGGTGATGCCACCGCCAGGAAAGTATCATTACTATCGGAATCGCACCAGGTATCAATCACCAGGCAGCCGTCACCAGGCCGCAGTGCAATTTAACATCAGCATGCTGACAAACAAGACTCATCGTTGATCATAGTCATCACTCATCACCATCATCATCGCCATCATCACCATGACGGACGTCCTCCTCCACCATCATCACCGTCATGGGCATGATGCGAAGTGCCCTGACCGCGGTGTCAGTACCGTTTGCACACGGCGGGATGGCCCAGGCAAGCGCTTCTCCGGCTCCTCCTCCAGGACGGAGCCGAGCTCCTTGGAAGGCGCCCAAAAAAACATGTGGGGAGCTCGAGTTCAAGATGCCGTCACCACCACTGCGAGTACGACCTGCTCCTGCTCTGCTACTGATCCTACTGCTGCTGTTGCTGCACTGCTGCTACTGCTCTTGCCACTCCCACTGCTGCTCCATGATTGACAGCTCTTTGAGGGCCTAGCCGAAGCCTTGGACAGGCTTCCTGTGTTCCTATCATGGCCGGCTGCCTGGGGCTTCTGCAAAGATCCTCAGGGGCTCCGCTCACAAGGCTGGGGGTGGAGAAGGGAGCTTTGCTGTTTCCTTTTGTTGATGGCGGTGCGGATGATTCTTATGGTGCAGTAAACCGGGGACATGAGAAGAGGAGACAACCCCCTATCGCAAGACGAGGATTCTTCGATTCAGGGTTTGCCATCGGCCGGCTGCATGCTGAAAGCATCCCATACCGCGACAGTAGAGGAGGTAACCGCGAACGATCTTGCAGGCTGAGGCAGTGTGTCGAGTCTACGTCGCTTCAGGTTCGGGATTGAAGGGCCAAAGTTCCTGAGGTCTGTGGCACGGCACTGGCGCAGCCCGTGAAGCTTCCGGCCGTGATGGCGGCCAGGTATTTCAAGAAGGCTGCACTTGGTGGCAGACAAGCGGGGGCAAAGTTGCTACACTGCTCCATGGTGTGCTCGTCTCTCATGGTACCCGTTTTGAAGCCAGCTGTCTCGTTGAATTGCTTTTGTTCGTGCAATTTCGCGTTCTCGTGGGGATTAAGGGGTTATTGCAGTGTCCGTGACAGGTCAAGGAGAGAAAAGAGCTGCGCACCCTCCAGAACTATACCAACATGGAGGTCTTCACAGGACACATGAAGCAGCAAAAGTTCGAGGATCGCGCACTTGCCGCGCCCGACAACTATGCGGCGAAGCTCTTTGCTGCCGCTGAAGAGATACTCACCACAGACCTGAACCTTGGACATCAAGATGCCCCAAGCTCCCCAAAATGATGAACCAGGGCTTCCAAGAGGCAGCCGTGATAACAACAGTGATTTCAACGAAAGCGCACTTTCCAGCTGGCTTCAGTGGCTGCGGTATCGGAATCTGCAGAGTATATAGCAGCTTCGTAATCAGTTTTTATAGCCCTTGCCATCATTTACTCGTGGCACTGACGGTACTCCCTCAAAAAGTCTAAAGTTGGGATGCAAAGCTCTGGGTAGCCCCACCAAGTGAGAACTGACAAGGAAGACCGTGGTGCTGGTTCGCCGCCACACTGGCAACCTTGCAGCATAGACAGCTGCAAATCATTGCAAATCTGTGACTTCGCAAGCCTTGATCACGAGTTGCTGCAAGCCTCCAGGCTACGAATTCTTTGTGAAGTTGCTTCGCCATCTCGAGACGTCACGGGGGATGAACATCGGCATTGCCACGCTGGAAGACAAGGCGTCATCACCTTGTGCTTGATTGGCATGCCTTGTGTTGGTGCAGCACCGGTAAGTACTGAAAGACTTGACACGCCACCACGAGTTCAGCCAACGTCTTTTGGAGACTCTCTGACTGCTTTGACGTGATGTTTGTTCAAGCGTTCGTCCATGTGGGAGAGAGCAGCCCGCAAGCTGTTTTCAGATTCCCTGCATGCTTCGCAGGCAGTTTTCAACTGCTTCGACACCAACCTGCGGGGAGAGAAGTTCCGGGTGCTCGTCGGGGAGACCGGTGAGGTGGGAGTCAGAGAACACGGATTCCTCAATATGCCACCCTCCATTCGTGGATTCCTACCCTATACCCTTTTTTTGTGGCCTGAGGCCGGAGAGGGCAGCAGCTTCTTCTGCGTGCGCAAGCTTTACCTGCTCGAGACTTGGCGAAAGGGCACGGAAATGAGACTTCCATAGACTTCTCATGTTCAAGCATCGGTCTCAACCCTTGCGCAGCGGACTTCACGTGGCTGCGCACGGAAGTTCGATCTCTGAATAGAGGATGAATCAGAAGCCGCCGCCCAAGACTCCCCAAGAGACAGGGGCTTGGCGAGGAATTAGTTGGGCCATGGATCCCAAAGCCGGCCTCATCTCAGGATGTGCCCCTCACTGCCACTGACTTCGAGCAGTGCAAGGCCGCAGAAGTCCGTCGAGAATCAAAGCCCAAACGTGAGTAACTGTTCAACTCTGACACCAGGCACGTGTCGACCGTGCCAACAGCCACCGCGGTCTACCAGAAGAAGAGCGCACGGTCCAGGTGGGCGCTGGGAGGGCTGTGAGGCGGAAAGCGTGCGCTTGCAGTGCTTGCGGTGCTTGGCTTGATAGGGAGAGTCCTGTCCCTCAGGTGAAGATTGTCTGCTCCTTGGATGCAGACAAACGGACGTTGGTGGTCGTTAGTGATGTGGGTGTGCCTTTCTGGAAGCTGGCAAAACGAGGATATGTGAACTTGTTCTCCCGGTGCCTAATTCCAGTTTTGAATCCACCGCAAGGTGCAGCGTTGCCCAGCCCTCTCAAGAATTCCCTTGGCTCCTTCTTTTGGCTGCACGGCTTTGCTGCTCCCATCGGCAGCGAGAAGCCCGCAGCCTGCCTGCACTGCAAGCGAGGAGATGACGCACTGTCACGCTGCTCGAGTAAGGGCCGTGCATTTCACCGTTCCCGTCGCAAGATGTCAGACTCAGATGCGCACTCTTGAAACATGCTTCTATTTCAAGCCTGAACGAGCATCCCAACAAGCAGCCCCAGTGTCTCTGATTGGCTCCATGTGATCTGACTTTTGCCAATGTGCGCACCTGGGTCCACAAAATCAGGACCATCTAAGACTAAGACCATGGGTTGGATTCATGCACGGCCACTGTAGCGATAGAGTGAGGACTGGGAAGTAGGGCCAGGGTCCGCTGCAGCTGAGGCTGTCTGGGAGCGCTATCTTCGGAAGGCACTTGAATGTTACAACGTCCTTGCATAGGAGCATACGTTACCTTGCGCGGTCTTGCTGCTGGCATAGAGTGATGCTACTCTGCCGACGCCGCGGTCTGCGCACCTCGACAGGTGGAAAAAGGTGTTGACATCCTCGAAACCAAGTTCGGCCTGAACCGCAAAGAAGCGGACTGCGTAGAGGAGCTTCAGGACAGGCTCCAGGTGTCTTGGCATGAAAATGGAAGCACAGGATAGTGGAAGTTCGTATTCTCATCGTCATCATCATCGTCATCATCATCACCATCATTATCCTCAACGTCATCATCGTCATTATCATCATCATCGTCATCATCATCATCGTCATCGTCAGCGTCATCCTCCTCCTCATCATCATTGCCATCGTCGTTGTCACCATCATCGTCACCGTCGTCATCGTCGTCGTCATCGTCATCATCTTCTCTTCATCATCATCATCATCATCATCAATGCAGTAAGCGTCATCATCATCATCATCATCATCATCATTTCCATCATCATCACCGCCACCACCACCATCATCATCATCATCATCATCATCATCATCATCATTTCCATCATCATCACCGCCACCACCATCATCATCATCATCATCATCATCGCTACCCTCGTCAGCAAAGCAGCAATGTTTTTCGCATGTGCAAAACTCATCTTCAGATGGCGCCAGCAGCCGCAGCAAAAACCTTTCCACCTTTCCAAATGTGTAGCTCAGGACGATCTATGGGAGGACGAGGCCACCCGGATGCATGGATTGTGCAGGATCGGGCTGTTTCTCACCCGTTACAACCATCTTCGCACTAGTACTGAATAGCTTCCGGACGAGTGAGTCTTGAAGCCACATCAGCAAAGGTCACTCCTTCTGTGAAGAGCTTCCGTCTTCGCATTAATCGTCATCCAGCTAGCCAGTTTTTTTCATTGCTTGTCGGTGCTTGAAGATCTGAATGATATGGGGGAGCAGTATAGCCCTTGGCGGCACTGCACCCGCTTCCTGACAGCCGCAGACATCGAGCGTCTTGGAATTCTTCGGGGTTAATGGAAGGCTCTGCAGAAAGGTTCGAAACCATACAAAACCCTATGTTAAGCAGAAGAACCACTGCATCCTAAACGCTAACTTCCCTAAAAACCAACCAGTGTCCAAGTCCCAAGTCGTTCAGGACATAGGTGGCGTTCTTGAAGCGTTCGACCAGCAGTAGCCCAAGTGCAAAGTTGAACTCAGCAAAAGCATGCATGGATGACAAATTAGGTGTAAGGCGCAAATTCACGTAACTCTCCTCATCCATGAACCCTAGCGCAAGTCTGCCACGCCCCAAGCCCCCTATGCCCAAACCCAAAGCCCGGTTGCCTGCTGAGGCCGATGCTGTCGACGAGGAGTTCAAGAAGCTCAAGCTCCCCCAGCAGGCATCGTGGCATGCCGGTTGCGTTTTCCTGCATGGGTTTTCGGAATGGCTTCCCAGAGCGTGACTTCTCAAGTTGGTGGAGACAACACCTACAGCAGATTACAGCAGCAAGTAAACAGTTTGCAACGATACTCACAGGGTAGATAAGCTACCCTGTGAGCAATGTCCTGTCCCAGCATGTCCAAACCAAGGCTCTGACTTCCTGACATGCGCACCTGAGTGTCATTGATGAAAGGTCAAGAGAGGCTAGCTGCAAAGCGCTAAAATTCAAATAACCCTAAGAGAGGCCTCTAAGGATTGTGTATTTGAGGTGCTCCAGCGCTTGAGGCGCTCTGGCGCGGTGGCCACGAACTCCCTTTGTGCCAGCTGGCGAAAGTTAGAGGAGTTGGAAAGAGATTGGGGATGAGAATTGGTACTAGCGTCACGCTCGGCTGTTGAGATTGCTGATGCCACCGCTAGTGCTGTTGTATTCTTAATGGAAGCGAAACATGCCGGTGCTCAGACTCGACATTTTTGATCATGGTCTGCGTACTGTGAGAGTTTTATCAAGGCATCATGCAGGCTGGCTGAGTACGGGCTGATGCATTTATATCCATGCACACTCTGCTTCAGCTATGCCGGCTGAAGATGCCCGGCTATCTCCTGCTTTTGGATCCAACCCTTTGACAGACAGCAAAACAGGATAGGTCACGCGATCCCATTTCCGAGAGAGGATCTCAGGCTGGTCCCGAGGCGAGGAGGAGGCTGATGATGATGGTGATGATAGCGATGATGTCGATGCTTCTGCGGGCCTTTAGCCAAAGCCGGGGCTTCAATGCGATGCTGCGATGCTCAAATCATACGAGGTGATGGGAACTCTGAGGAAGTGGTGAAGTCTCACCAGAGTTTCAGGTGATGACAGTAGTGGCAGACTCCGGAAGACGGAATAAGTGCCCGGGGCCCCAAATCTAAACTCAGCATGTCCATGTCCGGCACCTCAGTACAGCTGAGACGGAGACGGTGGACGAGATCGTCTGCAAGGATCTTGCGAAACGGTGCAAGGCCGTTCGGAGTGCGGAGTGACAACTGGCAGTCTTTTCCACGGTGAAAGGATGCGGTGAGACGAATAATAGCAGCGGGGATTTGCTGCAACCAATTGAACTTCTCAGAATGAATCGATATGCATGGTTTGTGTTGCATGCATGCAGGGTTCGGTTCTGCTTCACTCGCTGCTCCTGCTAGGCAGTTGAAGCTGCGCACAGCCAGCTGAAGCGGCTGGCTATGGATCGCTCCTTCTTTTCCTCCGAGTGATCCTTTCAGGAGGTGCTGTCCGAAGCCTCTTAGCCGACGAAAGGTGGAGTGGCTTAGGAAGGACTTCGCCTGTCCTAGGTTTTCCTTTCAGGGGAGGCTGTCGCTTCTGCCGTTGCCAAGAGAAATTTAGGCAATGGATGGAAGAAGGGCGGCTGGGTTTGCCAAGGATGCTCCGGGGTAGGCACGAACGAGGTCGGCTGAACAGCTTGCTTGCCAGACTTGACAAGGACGGACGGCCGTTTTGTCCAACCCTGGAACATCATCCTTGCAGTTGTTGGTGGGGGAGCATCAGAGCTCGAAACCTCACAGTAATCGTGATGCGCAGAGGGGCATGGGGAGTTGCGTAGAAACAGCGTGTCCGCACCTAGCCCTGCGTGAAGCAAGCCGCCTCGATGACACTGCGGTGCCGGGTTTGCCACAGGTCGGGCTTTCGGAAGAGTGCGGCTTGAACGTTGAAAGAGCCACCTGCAGAATTGCACACCTGGGATTAACAACATGTGCCAGACTCTAGAGAAGTCCTCGATGATATCACAGATGAAGCCTTTGAGCTCGCAGACAGAAAAGTCAAGGTAGAACATCTGACCAAAGCAGACGAACAGGGAACACAAAGACAACGTGAAGATTGATTTTGTGTTCTGTGCTGCAGCCACAGTTCAGAGGCTTTGAGCGATATCAGGGAAGGCATCTTTGGAGCTGGAGGTTTAGATGCTCTTCGATCCGTCAAACAGACCAGTCCACGTTTCTCCATTGCAAAACTGCGAAGACATGCGTACTGCATCGTTCCCCATGCCTGCGGAGCGTGGACCAAAGCTTTCACGCGTGTAGCCATGGCACAAGTCAGCAAGCCGCAAGTGCTGGTGGCTGCTGGAGCGGGCGTAGTGCTGCTGGGGATTCTTGCTGTGCCCCGACCTGGGCAGATTGGTTTTGATGTCTGTTTGCAACAGACCCACAGCCCAGATCCAGGCCATTGCTGACATCTCAGGTGCGCCTCAAGCGAGCACGAGCGCGAAAGGCAGGAGATGCTTGGAATGCGTGAGCGAGATGGTTCACGCATTACTACTTTGGACTGCGATTGATGTTGATTAGATTTCGCTGCATTATCCTCTTATGTGCAGTGTAGTCTTCGTAGTAGGACTGTGGCCGTTAAGAAACAAGAAACTGCTTTTTGTCATTTTGTTCCAGGCTTACGAGCTTCCTGCCTGGCTGCGCTGGCTGGAGGAAAGCTCCTCGCATCTTCGAATGCGAATGCGAGAGTGGGAGGCGCAGAAATCATGTTGCATGTAGGGAAGGGGTCTCGACGGAGTTGCTGCGTTCACGGCAGATGCCACGCCTGCATCTCTTGCAAAGGATGGCCCGTGGCGCCGAAGTCGAGGCTGGCACGGCTCAGACCTCATTCACAGTCCGGACAGCGCAGTGCCAGCATCTCAGCATAGGGGACCAGGCTTGAATCTTTTCGGCATTTGCACTGACGCTGTCCTTTTCTTGTTACGAAGTCGGCCATTGCAAGCAGGAATCCCGGTGTCAAGCAGTCCCAGAATTTAACTTGCCATTGTTGGCAGGTCTTTCGCATGTAGTAGCTCGCCACAATTCGTGGCATAAATGCCTCATATGCCCTTCTCCGATCCAACAGGATGACAAGCACAGCCTCAGGTACATACCGTGCTACTTCTATAGCCCAGAGGATGCTTGGGCAGCACCGCAGACCTGTATTGAAGAGTTTCTCCTGCGGTAACATACTCAGGCACTGATGTTGGCCAAGGGGATGATAGATATCGTGAAAATCACGGGTGTTTTTGGCAATCAATGCTGCAGCACCTCTGTCCAAGCTTAACGGCACACCGACATCTCCATTCCTACGGAACTCAGGAGAAGATTCTGCAGGCCGGCGGGTTCAAGCTTTTGAGTTACAATGCTGCCAGTTGTAGGCCGGCTGATCTTGGAGGTCTTCGGAGCGGTGCTCTGCACAGAGACTCCCCCTGTTCGTGGCTCAAGTTGCTAGTTCCATCACTGTGATTCATCGCCGAGAGTTAGACTCAGAGCTCCCAGATGGCTGAGCGGAAGGAGTTGAGCGTCGCCATCATCGGCGCAGGGCTCGGAGGCCTTACCCTTGCCAAGGCCCTTCTGCAGGAGGCCGGTGCTGGCGGTGCTGGCCGGGTTTGTCGGGTCCGGCTCTACGAGGCTTGGGATGAGTGGAAGGTTCGCGGCGGATCTCTGGGGCTTGCCGCCGGTGCTCGGATTCTCAAGCGCCTCAGTCTGGGCAAGGAGCTGGATGCGGTCTCCAATCGCGGCCAGGGCATGAATTACTTTGCACAGGGGGAGAAGCTGGGCTCCTTGGCTGTGTCAGGCCACTTTGCCATGCGCACGGACCTGCAAAGGATCTTAGTGGAGTCCTTGCCTGCTGATGTCGTCAAGCTGGGGCATAGGTTGGTTGACATCGTTGAGGACGATGACGGGGCCAGACTGTCGTTTGAGAATGGGGCAACGGACTTCGTCGATGTGGTCGTAGCGGCAGATGGTATCCACAGCTTCGTCAGGCAGAAGGTTTTCGGTGCAGACGAGCCGGATTTCACAGGCTTCCGAATCCTATACAGCATCTCGTCGAAGCCTATTCGCCCGGATCCTACAATGGCCAATATGCATTGGATGGAGAAAGATGGCACAGGCTTTGCCGTCCTGGATGTGACCGCGGGACAGGGAGAAGGCCGGCACGACATCTGTGCGGTGATCTTGAGAAGCAAGGAACCGGTTTCTGATCGCTGGGACGCCTCCATCGTCCGGGAGCGCTTTGCCGACCTGGCCCGACACGCAGCACCTGACCACGAGGTCCTGCGCCGCGCTGCAGAGGCTGCGGACGTCTGCTTTGACTGGGGTGTCTACAGGCAGCCCACCCGCTCCTCCTGGATCTCAGCACAGGGTCGAGTCGTGCTTCTGGGCGATGCAGCGCATGCCACAGCACCTTTCATGGGTCAAGGTGCCAACATGGCCATGCACGACGCTTGGTGCCTGAGCCGTATCTTGCTCAATGAAGACCTCTCGCTGCAGGAGGGTCTCCGTTTGTACGAAGTGAGCCGCAAGTCCCACTGTGAGAACGTGGTGTCTCAGAGCTCCAAGGTGGGGGAGATGGCGACAGCCACCGGCCTGAGAGCATTGGCCCGCAACTATTTGTTGAAGCCCATGCTTTTGTGGAACCTCAGCAAAGCCTGGGCCACAGACCCCACGGAGAGGAACCCTTGGGAGCCGGAGCCCATGGGTCTTTTCCAACGTTTGGGCCTAAGGCTCAGGGCTTTCTGTGCCAAGTGACACGAAGCCCAGGGCCCAGGGCTTGTACAGCTTGCCCAGGCTTTTGCCGTGCTTGGTTCATGTGACTTATGTACAGAAAGCACAGATTCCATGCCCGGGAACTCGAATGGCGAACCTAACTGCCGGGCGCCTGGCCTGCAGGTGGTGGCTTGCATGAGCAAAGCCAAAGCGCGTTACTGTAAAAAGGTTCGTGTCTTTGTCGTTACCCTTCCAAGCAGCATCATCATTGTCATAGAGGTTGTCCACTTCCGAATAGCCCACCAAAGCTGGACTCCACAACTGCCCTGAAAACAAGCAATCCCATACCCTAGACTCATCCTTAATCCACCTCTCACTGCTGCCTTCAGGGCCCTGTGGAGTTTCGCAGCGGGGCCGAGAGCCACCGAGGGATCTGCCACGGTGGAGTTGGGGCCTTGGGCACTGCTCTTCGTTTGAGTAGGAGGGTGCAAAGGGACTTGCTAGGTTCTTTTCGGTTGAGAGGAAGTCAAGGGTAAAGAGATCAGGGCGGCAGGGCGGGTCTGTTAGCCAAGCCCTGTCTGCAGCCAAGTCTACTCGTTTTCATTGCAAGCGGACGTTGCACGGAGCTCCAGGCTATGACTTCCGTGAGGGCCTCAGGAGAAAACTGCAGCACCGATGTGGGAAGCCCTGGGCTTCACCCGAGCCCTTCTAAGGCCATGGACGACGTCCTGGGCCACCTCGCCTTCCTGGCCGCCGGCACTGGGCCCTGGAGCGGTGCCACGGTGCAGGCGCCGCCCGAGTGTACGACATGCGCGTCCGCAGACCTTGGCCCAGTCATCACCCTTTGGATTTGGAGTCAGGTGAACTGCAAGCTCAGCAAACCTGATCCTTCGCTGCACAAAGCCCTAGTCCATGAGATTGGGGGCTCTAAATTGGCACAGAAGTCCCTCAACAAAGTCTAAGCCGAGGTTCGTGTCGGTCAGACGCTGCTTTTGGAAGGCAGAGTTGCGAAGCAGGTCGGGTGTCAGAAGAGCTGCAAGACATACATGCCTGCATGCATGGATGGACGGACGGATGTATGTAAGTGTGTATGTATGTATGTCTACGCAAGCTTACATCTCCTCGCCCATCTCAAAGCGCACCAACTCGCTGGAGGAGAAGCGAAAGGTTTTTGTCGAGGCCCGGATGCTGGACGAGGTGGGGACGCCAGGGAGGAGTTTGGGATCGAGTCTCGCGGTTGGGAGTGTTTTGGGGTGCTTTTGCGTGTATGTCTCGTCTTTTTTTTGGGTCCTGCAGTTAGTTTGAATCCTTTTGATAAATGTCTGACGCCTCTCGGGCCCGTTTTTGGGGATGTGGATTAGGGAAGGATTCGGGATTTACTGGTAGGTCTTTTGTAGTTTGGCGCTTAGAGGTAGGGGCTTTCGGGTTTAGGGAGTTTGGAGTTGTGGTTTCGGGAGCTTGGGGTTGCTTTGGAGTTTTGGGAGTTTGGTGGGAGTTTGGTGTTTCGGGTGTTTGGGTTCTAGGGTTTAGGGAGGTTGGAATTTGTTAGGGTTGGGCCGTTTCAGGCTTGAGGAGCATGAGCATGGGTTTTACTGGGTGTAAAGCTTAGGGAGCTCGCGCTGCAGGACAGTCTGGGCTTTGAGGGTTTTGGAGTTAAGGAAGTTTCGGGTAGGGGGTTTGGGGTTCAGAGGTTGGGGTTTAGATTAAAAATTTACTTGATTTCGGCAGTAACCGGCCCGTGCGATTAGGGTTTCTGGGAGTTTGGTGGGAGTTTCGTGTTTGATTTTCAGGGTTTAGGGAGCTTGGGTTCAGGGTTCAGGGAGTTTGGGGTTGAGGGTTTTGGGGTAGTTTAGAGAGTTAGGGTTTTGAGAGCTAGGGGTGTACTCTTTTGAGGAGTCTGGGTTTTAGGGGGCTTGGGGTTTGGGGTTTAGAGTTGGTGAGTTCGGGGTTTAGAGAATTATGAATTTAGGGTTTAGGGAGTTTGTGCTGTCGAGTCGGGCAGTGTTTTGGGGAGTTCTGGGTTTAGGGGGCTGGTCCTCACTCCGCTAGACACTAACAAAGATGATTGAAGTCATGGTATCCGGTCTCATGGTAGTAGGTGCAGTGGTTATCGTCCAGGGAGAAGGGCACAGTCATTGGAGTAAGCCCGATCGTCTTCTCGTTTTTGCGTGGCCTTCTGGGTCGACATGGCGCGGAATATGTGTCGAACAGCAGTGGAGTATCGATGCGGACTGCGGAGAGTGTTGTGCCCACGTCTTTAGAGTTCTTCAGCCCTCAGCTCCACTCATTCTCACGAGGCTGGCGACGTTTACGCCACTATGGACGGTCTCTCCATCGTAGGCCGGCGTTCGGGATCAGCACCCGGTTTAGGGCAGATTCGGGCAGATGCTCTCAAGCCGATAGTTCGGGTACCACCCTTCATTGTTGCCAGCCTGTCCTCCGTCTATCACACTTGGAACCGCAATGCCTGCAAACGCCTGCAAAGCACATTTCAGCACTTCTGTCATCTCAGATTGTGTTGCACAGGTGCCAAGATCCAGGCCGAGGACATGGGATGAACAATCCGAGAAAGCACCGACTTTACAAGAGCTTGTTGAATTGTGGATCTCCCTTGAGTCCTAGTAGTCCTACAGCAGTATCAGACACAACATGAGACAAGGCATGAAAAGGTCAGAGATGGTAGAAGTACATCTCATGAGTAAGGCTAAGAAAGTAATGGGAAGAAGCCCGACTCTTATGGAGCTCAGGATTCCGACAGCCTTCCCAAAGCTCCCAAGCCGAGAGGAAACAGACCTGGACAAGCGTCGTTGGCACTTCGACGATGAAATGCGAGCAGCAAGGGCCCCGGACGACGCCTGCCTCCTTTGAGTCACAGAGTGTACGAACTTGACGACTGCAATATGATCCACTTGTCAGGTGCTCGACAGCCCGGACCATCGGCATGTGCTCGGAGGCCATCCGCAGTCAGCAATCAGCCCTGTGCACTTTGAGAGTAAATGCAGGAGTTTCGCTCAAACTCGAGAATTCTTTTGCAGCAGTTTCGGCCACGCAGGCAGCTTGGAACGTTCGCCACCAGCTCCTGCACCGTTTTTAGCCATGGGCTGCGCCTCGACGAAGATTACCTCCTTCGACAAGCTCGAAGAGCTGTTCCACGAGCCGGGAGTCATGCCCATGCCAATGCCCCGAAGGACCAGCAAGAGGGTGGTGAGAACCGGTCCCACACAGGTGTGTACGCCAGCACAAGACTCACTGGACTACCCGCTGCCTCATTCAATGGAGGCGGATTCCGAGACAAGGTCAGACTGCCGGCCTGGCATTGATCGGGTCTGCGTCCCTGTCCATGTTCCAGAACACCTGCGAGGGGTCATCGGAGAGGAGCCGATGCTCAGAAGCTTCAGAGAACCTTCCGAGACCGAGTGCTCGTGGAACATGCCAAGCTTTCGTGAGCGCTCTGGTGATCTGCCAGTGGGTGTTGTGGTCCCCCCGGATTACGAGATGCACATCTGGCACATGCAGAATCTCAACCGGTTTCTGAAGCTAGTCTCCACGTCGCCATACAAGCTGGAAGACGAAGTGGCAAGAAAGAGGATGCTAAGTGGAATGGGCCGAGGGCATGTAGACATGCTTGCTCGGAAGACAGCCCAGAAAAGTTCCCTGCATTGTCTGGGCCTCCCGTAGCCGTGAGTGCGCAAGGAGTCGCAGACTATGCAGAGATGCACATAAGGTGCATGTTCATCAATCCATACAACACAACAATGTATCGTCCACAACCGGTCATCTTTTGAAAGAGGCAGCTGCTCAGCGGATCTGTGCAGATCAGCAAGTTCAACAGCAGTCTGCATCGCGGATACCTGCCAGTTCTGTGAGCAGCTAGCATGATCATTTGCGTTTGACGCACCGTAAATATGGGAGCGGTGAGGTCGCCAGACATCGCCAGACCAATGTCAACTGTGGCGATTCCTGCTGGTTTTCAAGGCTCAGAGGCTCACAGGGCTGTTTTAAGCTAGCGTTTGCAAAGGGGGCGGTGCCATCATGCTTGCGGATAGCCGCTACGTGTGGGACGGGCAGACATCCAGCAGAAGCTCGAGAAGGACGGTCGCTCGTGCAGCTGTCCTTTCGATCTACGAGATTTCGCCTCACTTTGAATACATGTGTTTTTTTCGTACCACGTGCGGGGAGAGGTAGGGTCTTCGGGGCCTTCACCCACCCGCATGCATTCATTCTTCAACATTCTCCAAGTTCACTGCTTGTCTCCGGCGCGATGCCTTTCACTTGTTAAATAAGCCAACTTGAGCATACTTGAGCACTTAGGCTTGCTGTGCGTCTGCTCGCATGTGCATCACGCTGCGGGCAAGCAGCAAATTGCGACTCGCAGCAGAAACTGGAGAGAGAACATGAGACAGGGCAGCTTTGATTGTACGTCATCTCAGCTTGAACTCCGCAACCCGTCTAAAGCAGCTGTCTCCTTCGCAGCACATGTGTGCTACAGCATGCGCAAGACGTTGCGCTTTCCTTTCACCCTTCCAGGAAGCCTTCCTTTCTTTTCAGGCGCAAACAGAGACCTCAATCAAAAGATCAGGAGGTCAAGCTTCCGTGATATTGCTATGCTGTTGGCCATGCCCCTAGATGCTTGCGGCGTTTTGCCTTTTGGTTTGCCAGGGGCCTCAACGGCACTCGTCCATGTATTTCACACATGGCATAGAAAAAGACTCGACATAGCTTGCAAGGATGAAAAAAGGGGCCGATGCCATGCTGTGCAGCAGCAGAGCCGGTGCAAGACAAGCTGTGCATGAAAGCAGACCTTGCAGCACCTAGTTCCCAGAAAGCCTTCACGCGCATCATCCACGATCTTCCATGCGAGTCTTTGTACTCCTGAGGCTAATCCTCCACGTCTGAGCTGCCGAGATCCGTTGCCCATGCGGCCCCTAAATGAACGTGTGCAGCCGCAGAATCTGGCAATGCCTGATTGTAGCTTTTGGGCAAAGCATGCAGGCGAACTTAGCATGATGCGTCTAGATTTAATTACGTGATATAGTATGCCCAAACAGATCGCCGCGGTGCGGTGCACTTGACATTGACCCAACAGAGGGTCCACGGACCTTTCCAGAAATAATCGCAAAGCTCGTGAGAGCTGTTCTGCAGAAGTGTGGCTGTGCCGCGCCGTTTGTGCCATTTGTACCCTTTGTCCTGCCACTTTGGCAGCCAAGGCTTCTGCAAACCCTGCATGTTTGCTCTTCTTTTCTGCCGCCTTCAGACGAAGCTGGAGCAGGAAGAGACCGAAGGGGTGCAGTTAGGTGGACATCAAGAGCATGTCTTCAAAAAGGCGGTGTCGGAGATTTGAACAACAAGAGGGGCATGAGCATGCACAAAGCCCTTTTGGTTTATAGGCCGGAGTTGCTTCTGCATTGGACTTGGCTCGAGTTGCGATATTGCAGAGCTGGGCGCTGGCAGCCCCAATGGCCGGCTATGCAGCCTCCTGGCTTTTCAAGCCCCTGTCACGCATGGAAGAGCCTTACGGATTCACCCCTGCTCCACCTCCTCCTCCTCCTCCTCCTCCTCCTCCTCCTCCTCCTCCTCCTCCTCCTCCTATCATCACCATCACCGCTGCTACTGCCAGTGCTGCTACTGCTGCTCCTGCGGCTACTACCACCACTGCTACTGCTGCTGCTACTATGACAACGACGACGGCAGCGGCTCCTAGCATCATCTTTGATCTTGTGACTAAGCCCGGTTTTCAAGCATCATTCGAGACCCTATCGTTGCTTTACTTTCATGCTCTTACCTTCTTTGCTGGCACAACGGATGCTTTTCAACAAGATCCCTGGCGGCCACATTCCCGATGCCTTGAAGCCTTGAAGCCCTCAACTTCCAGATCAACGTGCGATCCAACACTGGATGCAGACCTCAAGCCTCAACTGCCAGCATGAGGCAGGTGGCGCGCCGGGCAAGAACAAGCGCCGCTGGACTTGTTGGGAGCTTCGCGCCTGTAGGTGATGTAACATGATAGAACCAGCCGGCACCATAGCATGAAGGAGGCATTAATGGGCCGTGTCGCCGCGTCGCAGGCCCCCCCCCACCCCCCATGGTATGTTTCCCCTCCCCCCCCCCCCCCGCAAGCAAGACGTTCCTCACGGTATGCTCCCCCCAAGCCAGGCCTCTCGCCTGAAGGGGGAACTCACAACACATGCAACCAAAAGACGGGGAACCACAGGGCGCCTTACCCTTCCCCTGCGATACACAGATGAGAATGATGGCGATAATGCTGTGCACCATGACGTTGATGTGCTATTCCCAGTGTGGCTGTTGGTGGTAGCTCTGCTCTTATGTTGCTCTGGGCTTCGGCACGGCATGTTCATTGCTTTAATTTAGTTGACAATCGTGCTTGGCTTGTGATGTTCTTGCGAAACTGTGTCGATCGTTGTCATTCCAAGCCAAGTTTCGGTTGGATTCGCTGAAAGTAAGCTTGAGCAATCTTGAACACGTGTTTGAATGATTTTCATTCGGGACTCTTGAGCAAGGGACCGGAAAAGAGTGTGGATGGGGATCATGACCACCATCTTCGTCATCATCATCACCACAATATTCATAATTGGCTTTGGAGCTCAAGGCAGGTCGGAGTTCAGTGGAACTGTATCACATCCTAGGCTCCGAACCCTTAGCAACGGGACGCCCAACAAGAAATAGCCATGGAAGGGGGCGCAGCCGGCCGCAGGGGGGAGGGGCAGGGGGGAACCCACACCACAGGGAACCAAAGGGGGGGAGGGGGGATACCATGGGGTGAGGGGGGGAGAGGGGGCCTAGCAGCGCTGCACCATGTATGCACCGACCTGTGTCGGTTGTCTAGGTACATGTATGCATGAACGTATATTGACAAACACAAGTGGCTAATTTATTTTTGATACGAACACGACATAGGCAGACATGTCTTTCTTATTCTTCCCCTCCCACTTCCTCCCGCACAAACTCTGCATATAAATTTCATATCTGCGAGCCGTTGCACCTCCTGCAGTGTCCAAGGGATCCTGGCTCTCTTCGACGTCGATGGCACCCTGACGGAGCCTCGAAAGGCAAGCAATTCCTCTCGTCATCTTGGAGTTGAGAAGCTGCCCCGGACAGCCCGCGGAAATCTCACCAACATGCTTGGCGTAGGCCAAAGCATTCACGCGCCCAGCCCCTGATGAAGGTGGTGTCGCCTGAGACCCTCAGCTACCTCCAGGCCAAAGTCACGTTGTCAGGGAATGCAGCCAAGGGTTGGAAGCTGAGAGTGCAGCCAAAGGTTGTTCGAAGAAACGTGTAGCGGCTAGCGGCTCCATTCTCACTCCGCCCTCGCAGTCTTTGCGGGAGAAGATCAGCATAGGGGTCGTCGGTGGCTCCGACCTTGCCAAGCAGAAGGAACAGCTTGGAGATAGCCACTTGGACCATCCAATCATATCCGAGCTCTGGAAGACCTGACAAGATAGCTGCCGCAGCGGGCAGTGAACTTGAAGCCTGCGGCCGAGCATCCGAGAGGCCCCAACCTGTTCGACTTTTGCTTCTCGGAGAATGGCTTGCTGGCCTACAAGGCTGGGCGCTGCTAGGCCCTGAGCACCTTCGCAGGCCTAACCTAGAATTTCCACCGTGAGAGCTCCGTGAAGGATGGGGAGCAGATCGGCGAAACATCGATAACACAGCATCTCGGCGAGGCAGCAGGGCGTTGGAGAACTCCAAAGTATTCCAAAATTTGAATGGTGAGTAGGTCGGTCTCATGGACTCCCAGGGTGCTTCCTACAGACATTCCGAGTCGACTATCTCCACGATGCGTTTCTCTCGCAAAGTGCTTCAATGGGCACTGGGTGGTGCAAGTCCAGTTAGGGTCGGAAGTTGCGATTGGGGGTGCGGTTATGAGCACATGTTGGCAACCCTGCATATCGTCTAGTGGGGCTTGCATTTGGGTTTCCAGTGCTGGTGAGGCTGGATTTGAGCTTTGGCTGCATGTCTGCCATGCTGGCATCCTTGATCTTAGGATCCTTCGTCCAGAATCATTTGTCTTCTAGTTTTGATTGTAGTCTTCTGGTGTAGCGCTCAGAGGCGCCAAGTGAGGTGCCATCGGCATGAACAGATCACACAGTAAGGCGACCCTTCTAGTTGCAAGAGACTTGACAGAGTTTGATGGCCAAAGCATGGGGCAGGGTACGCGCATGCTGTGGTCATGCGCTTGGGCTTTACTTGTAAGCTTCCGGCCCGGGGCCGAATTTGGAAAAATACCATGGCCCCGATGTCTGGTGAAGGCTTGGCATCTTCAACCCAAGTCGTCTTGTCCAGTTTTGCCAGGAGAAGCTGAAGAAGCTGATCAACTGGGTTCTGAAGTCCCTGAACTTGCACTCACTGCATCGTTCGGTCGCCGGGGGTGGGGGTTTTGCTTCGCGGCTTTCAAATCCGTCAGACATGAGACTTCGAGGGTGTCAGCTACAACCCCTGATCCTAAACCCTGAAGCGCCCCCCCCCCTTTCGCGAGTTTGGTCCGACTTCGGGATACCATTCCCGTACTGTAACTTCCCCAACATTGTTGTAGAATATAGCTATTCTCTATTTAAGGCCCATGCCGTTTGGATATGACGATGCCTGTCATCAAATCGACAACAGCAAGCTCACAAATCTTTTTGCGAGCCCAGACCCTTCCCAGACTGACAGATTGAAAGTCCCCCCACGCACTGGCCCTAGCTGAGGTACTTTGCAGAACTTGATATTCCCATTAAGCGTGGCACCTTTGTGGAATTCCGCAAGGCCCGTTTTCGGAGACGAGGATGGTAAAGAAAACTATGAACACACCATGGGGAATGTGATTGTGAGAATGCTGACAATTGTGATGATGATGATGGTGATGAGGATGATGATGCAAGTAACGGCGATGATAGGGGGGTGAAACTATCTATGGTCATGGCGATGATGATGAAGATACTGGCAATGAATGCAACATGATGATGACGATGGTGATGTGGGGTCGGTGGTGATGGTTGCAAGGCGGCACAGTACTGGCCTCCGTTGCTGGAAATGGTCTTGATGGTAAACGCCACGATGTCGCTCACGAATGAGACGATGATTACGATGATGGTGGTGATGACGATGATAATGATGGTGATGATGATTATTTTGTTGTCGTAGTCGTTGTTGTTGCTGTTGCTATTGCTTCCGTTGTTATCAGTGTTCTTGGGCGCTTCTTCTTCGCTTCCTTCCTGTTGCAGGCATAGTTGATACGATCACAGATGAGGTCGTAATGTGCGCCATGGT